AAAGAAATAAGCATTTACAGAACCTAACTTTTAACCTTCCCTTATGCATACATATAAACATTAACCCTGAAGATGATTAACCATGTTATGCGTCAACTTACCCATATGTGTGTTGTATGTGTGTAGTATAGCAGGCACCAGCGGCGCTCTTTTAACATCAGTGAGGGAGGGAGGAGGTTCCTATTCAAAGCCCCCTCTTTTCCTCCCCCTCCACACACACACACACACACACTCTCTCTCTCTCTCTCTCTTACACACTCACACACACCCCCTGCTTTAGACACAAATGAACCGAGAGTGTTTAACAAAGACAGCCTGGATGAGTGAGGTTGGTTGTCTGGTCACAGCCTCAGCTAATGGTGCATAAAACCATTCACGTGGAGACAAGAGAGACAGAGGATGGAGAGGCAGTGAAAGTGCTGTCAGCCATTTTTGCCTTTATTTCCCTCATTTTTTACAACGCTATCGATCGGCATTGGACGTCACTGGTGGGAGAGTCTTACCTAATTACCTGAAACGGAGGATTCGATTTTTGCACATCCCTTCTTGGATTTCTCATCCTTTTGCACTGTGTTTCTCCTTTCTTCTTTTTTTTTTTTTGTGGACCCAGTGGACAGACAGATGCCGTGTGCACCTGACAAGGAAAAACGTTGATTTTTATTTTCTTGGAGTAGGAACCGTGTTGTTCAAATCCAGAGCATCATCTCCGGTGAACATACTCTCTCCCCCTCCTTCCCCGGGAAAGATTCTCCTCTTCTCCCCTGCAGGAGCGGGGAGAAAAACGGGAGACAGGGGAAGACTCACTGGAGGGGGGAGAGAGGGAAAGATTAGTGGGAATCAGCAGGATGCTTAAATTTCGCCCTGGCTCTGCACCTCCATTATGAAGCCATTAGTTAGTGGTGGCGGCCATGGAGTCTCCAGCCAGGCTGATAAAAGCCCCGTAAGTATCAACCCTACATTGCAAGCTCTCTCACCTCCTCAAAATACTACCAGCATTCGCTCATCAGATTAGCCTGATGATCAGGATGGACGGGAACAGCGTTAGATGCATTGGATGTCTAATATTGCTTTCATTGCAGAGCTAAATGAGATTTTTATGATTTTAAAAGGCATATTTCTGTATCTCAAACAGCATTTCTGTGAATTCATAGCTTGTTTTTGCAATTTAAAGGTTAATTGCATATATGCAGATCTGTTGTAATTGACATTTCATGCAAGTCTGGTGTAATGCTCAGTTTTATCGCTCGATTCTGTGGAATCTTGTATTACGAGAGGCTGTTGAGTGCCACGACCTCATTCATCCTCTGCTAGTGCAATGTGTGTCAGTGTGTGAAGGCGGCCATGTGCACACCGCCCCCCATCACCCCGCATACGCTCAGATGTGTGTGTACTGGATGATGAAATGGCCAAGATCGCGTTTGGCTTGTCACAGCTCTTGGGAATCAGTAAAAATTAGATTTGAATGACTTTATGATGAATGTGTGTGAGCATTTGCGTGTGGGAGGAGTTATGACATAGCTGAACGATGCTGTCAGCTCAATATATGTTGCGTTTCATAAAGCCACTTGTGACCGAATGCATCTTTGAATGCCTCAGTGCTTGTTCACAAACGTGTGTGTGTATGCGAGTGAGTGATCACGTTCTGTGGTGTTTGCACACGGGCGGCATCGGAAAGCGATCAGCGCCGGACTGCTGAGTGGAATGATGAGCACTTTTAGCTGTAAATGAATTGATCTTCTGTCAGCCATAATGTGCTAGTGTTCGTTTGGCCTTGTGCAAGCCCTGAAAACATGTGCTGGTGTTCGAACGTCTTTACAGATCCTGACATAACCGTGTTGCTATGCAACAAATACAACAATTCACTGTGCAAACTGCAGTGATACTGTGAACAAGTGTTTCTCGTCAGAGTATGAAGGCTTGAGCACAACTAGAAAAATTAATTGACCAATCAGATGTCGGAACCGAATTAAGTTTTTATAACATTATTTTCCCTTTAAGGCTTCCTAGTTCACTCGGTGGCCATCTTGGTAACTCCACTGGGCAGCTATTATCTATCTAGATTTTTTTTTACTGTAAGGCAAGTTTTCCACCATATTGAGCATTTTGATTTCTCCCATTTATTTTTCTACATCTCCTCCTCCCTCATACTTTCTTTGATTCATTTCAGTCCAATAATTTATATTATTTCATATATATATATATATATAGATAGATAGATACACTGAACAAAATTATAAAAGCAACACTTTTGTTTTTGCCCCCATTTTTCATGAGCTGAACTCAAAGATCTAAGACTTTTTCTATGTACATAAAAGGCCTATTTCTCTCAAAAATTGGGGGCAAAAACAAAAGTGTTGCGTTTATAATTTTGTTAAGTGTAGATCGATAGATAGATAGATCTTCATATTATGTTTTATATTTATGTTTCGTTTCATAAAGTTGTGTAGATATGTTTGCTGTTTACACTAGTAAAAAATTTGTGTTCCTTATTTCGTATTAATATGCAAAAGTTTGATGTTGGTAAGACTTTTTTAATAAAATAAGTATTTTTTTATATTTTAAAATACAATATATTTTTGTGATGGCAAAACTGAATTTTCAGCAGCCATTACTCCAGTATTTAATGTCACATGATAATACAGAAATCATTCTAACATGTTGATTTGGTGCACAATAAACCTTTATTATAATCAATTTTGCAAACTGCGTAATAATTAGTCGAAACCATGACCTTTTAGGTATTATTTGAAGCATTTGTATTTAATTTGAATAAATGTATGCGTTTGTGTTGCTAGTATTATACTCTACCTGTTGAGCTTCAGGAATTATACAAAATCATATAGTTTGTACTGCAACTGCAGTACAAAAGTTCTTCAAATATAATTTCACCATCTTTCCTCTTTTTGCAAAAATCTTCAGTTTTTAATAATGTTTTTATGCCAAAAAAATAGTGAGAATCCAGTTCTCGCTCCAGTGAGAATGTGTGTGTAGAGAGCTCTTGAAGACCAGTTGGACACATGCTGTTTAGCATCGTTTAGTTGCATCTTTAAGGAGACCAGTACTTGAAGAGATTAATTGCGGACACTATTTCATTAAATATCAGGAAGTAGTCAATTTCCTTAGCTGTATTCCTGCCTTAGCGTAGTAAATATATTGGCATGTATTTGTGAGAATATCGGTCCTGTTTAATCTGACGCCCAGCCGAAGCTCTTTAATCTTTTGATCCTCTCAGCTCAAGAAAGCGAGAGGCCCCAGAGCGATGCTGAGGCTTATGGGATAGGTTTGCTGCTTTGAGTCCTCCAGCGTCAGCTCTTTTTTATAATGTCACACCTTTTGCTTTGACAGACATGAGCTCATCACACGCATATAAGCTACAGGTTCACACATCCACACCTCAAATTCTTAACGGCAGGTGGGGCTTTGTTCGAAACAAGTATGCATGCAATTATGCATAAAAATAAGCTAAAGCAATTTTTGGTAGCACTCTTGTATGGCTATGTAGGTCATTAAGACTGCAGTTTCTTTTTTGGATTTGCTTGTGACCCATAGACATTTTAAAGAGCAAGGATCCAGTTAAATCTGTGACCCTAAAGCATTTATTAACCTTGCATTCGTACAGATAAGTGTGAAAGGTCAGTGTTGCCTTAGGCCCATTCATTTATTTACAAAGTCCCCCAGAGGCATCACAAGAGTGATATTTGGGACCCCTGTGATTGTAGCATGCTGTCTGTGACCTGTGTGCTGTTTGACTAAAAGCCTCTTGGGTTAATTGACTGTGGCCTGCCCTAAATTGTGTGGTAGGAGAGTTAAGTCTTTATTATGTGCAACAGTGACATGAAAAGGGCACTTAAAGGACAGGAGCGGACCCCTGGGTGGGCATGGGAGGCAGGCAGGATATTGCTAATGACACATGTATATCGACTGCTGTCGCTACCAACATTTTGTCTAAATGATGTCTTTGCATACCAAAGATTTACGTAGAGTCAAAACGGGCTGGGATGTTGATGATAAATTATACATTTTTGGTCAGTTTTTTTAATTTGAGTTTTCATTAATTTTGCCCTGTGGAGCTTATGCTACCATTAATCCCTTGCTGGACTATTTTCTTTTTTTCTGATGGAAAAAAAAACTAAAAACTTTTTGTCACCTTGCATGTCAAACCATCCCTTCAAACTAATTAATGCCAAATTTAGTTGGTTTTGAGTTCTTATCACATTCTGAGATCACAGCTAAAAGTACATTCTTTCTATCTATCTATCTATCTATACTGTAGATAGATAGATAGATAGATAGATAGATAGATAGATAGATAGATAGATAGATACTGTAGATAATCTTATATTTCTCTTTTTTCTTATTTTTTTTTATAAGAGTCATGTATATTGCATTGAAACTAAGTACTGATAACCTACAGTTCAGTAAGCGAGTCATAGTTCAGTCAGTGTTGAGTCATATGTTTGTGCTGTGAAGGATCCATCAGAATGATCAAAACCGGCACCTTCTGAGTGTTTTTGAATGATTCATTAGATTAACCAGTTCATAAGTCATTTAATGTGAGGATAACTGAATGGAAAGATGTGTTGTCTAGTAATTTTTTTTGCAGTAGACAGCCTTGTTACATTCAGTTCAGCCTGCAAACTCACATTTACAAATATATGGGTAAAATATAATTTTCTGTATACTGCTTTAACCAGTATATCTCCCACCCCCACCTTAGAGAATAAACTTCATTAGACTTCAATGCTCCATTTCTTGCTCAATGAACCACCTCATAAAATGAACTGTGTATGCTAGCAGGTTGTATCTTTGGAAGGAGATAATATTTGTGTGTTGCCTGTGGCGATGAGATTTATGAAAGTGAAGCATTTTATAAGAAGATCAGACAAAGTTTTGGGAAGATAAATTAAACGTCATGGATAATTTGTGTAATATTTTAGGACTTGGAACACTTTGTAATCTTTTATTCTCTTCTTCAGTCATAAGCCGACCCACAGGGACAAATCTGGAGATTCCTGCAGAATTGGAACAGCTGTTGTTGTTGCACAAAGTTCCCCTGCTAACTGTTTTGGCTAATTTAATAATACTCTTTGCACAGTTTAACATTTTACCATGTTTAAATCCATTCTGTGATTTTCCAGTTCAGAAAATGAGGTGATGGGCATAAAACAAGGTTTTCTTTCATATTTCTCCTCATTTTATCACCATCTTTCTCCTTTGATGCACCTAAAAAACATTTAAAAATATCAGTGACTGTTCACTTCAAGCAAAAATACATTTGTCTTTTCTTAAACGTTGTGCATGTATTTCTGTAGAAAGCTCTTGTCATCGTAATGAAGATGCTGTTAAAACGGTAAAACACTGTGCAGTTGAAACTCCTGTGGGAAGCATCACGTGCAAATCACCCTCATTTACAAACAAAAAGACACCTTGAAAAATGGCATGGCTCAGTGTCAGCTGGTAACTGCTTCATTGTTCTCTGCTCATTTCTGTGACAGCAGGGAGGAAAGCCCATGTACACTCATGAGAAGTGAATTTACTGGCGTGCTGGAGGTTTTGATGGCTCCTTTCTGCAGTGGAAGCGAGAGGAGAGCTGATGTGTGTATCATAGCTGACAGCTCTGTGGCCATCCAGGACTGTTCAGGGAATAGCCTTGAGGAACACAAGCGAAGGGATGTGGAGGGAGGAGTGAGGCGCTTTGCTGCTATCACAGCACCTTTATTTTAAGTGCTGGATGCACCCGCTGACCTGATAGTGTATACTGAACCACATCAGTCTGAGTGTGTACTGGTGCTTCAAGAACCCTAATTAAGTACACTTTTCTTTTTTCTAACTTCTGTTTTGTCTTTCATTTGTTCTTCCTTTTGTTCTGTCCTTCGTTTGTTTGTTTTTTTCCTTCTGTCTGTATGCTTGTTCTTGCATTCTCTTTTGTTTGTATGTTCTTTTGTACTCTTGCATGTTTATTTTTGTCTTTCATTCATTTGATCTCTTTTGTTTGTTTGTTCTTTTATTTTTCTTAGGTCTTTCATTCTGTCACAATCTGTTTTTCTGTTGTTTTTCGTTAATGGTCTTTTGTTTTTCTTTATTTCACTCTTGTTCGTTTGTTTGTTCCATTTTTCATTTTGTTTTTCTCCATTCTATTTCTTTTGTTCATTCTGTGCTTTCTTTTTACATGGTCCTTTTTTAGTTTCTTTTTGTCTTGCTTTCCTCCTGTTTGTTTGTTTGTTATTCATTCTCTGTCTCTGTCCGTCTTGCAGTCCTGCATTTGCATCTCAATTTTTTTCTTTTAATTTATTCTTTGTCTTTCAATGTTATTTGTATTGTATATTGTTTCATTTCATTTTGTCCTTTGCCTTTTTGTTAATTGTAAATATATTAATTTTTCTTCATTTGTCTCCTTTGCTATTTGTCTTTTTTATTTCTTATTCAGTTGTCCCATGTTTTGTTCTTTCCTTTGCTATGTTGTGCATTTTTGTATTTCTTTCGTTCTGTGTTTTACTTTTTATTAGTTCTTTCTTTCTTCCTTTTTTTTCGCTCACTGTCTCATTTTTTTCTTCCTTCCTCTTATGTTGTCTCTCTGCTTTTAGATGTAAATAGCCCTAATTAATATGGATGAACTGCCATGGCAATAGATTAAAATAATGAATTTGCGTATGTGAGGAGGAATATTCATCAACACATTAGTGTTAACACACCTTTAGCCTCACAGCACACCAAACAGCAGGCATCTACTGTACCTCCATTCCCCCTGTTACCACACCAGTATTGGTGCAGATGGTGTCTTGCAAATATATAGTTTTCCTTATCTGCTTCTATTCCATCTATAAGGTTGTTTTCTCTGTGTTCAAGCTCTCCGTCTCCCAGGAGAATTGGCTGCATTTCCGGCATGTATATGATTATGGGAGTGGAAATTAGGTCAGATGCATTTTGTATGAAAGCTATACTCAGCCACAGCTGGCTGAAGACATCCAATAGCCTCCCAAAAAAAGCAATTTCACTCGTGAACACACATACACACACGAGCACACACACAGACACAATCAGGTGCCGATTGAAAGAGCTTTATCGGAATGTGGCCGTGTGGCTGTGTGCACTCTAATAAAATATTAGCTGAAATTGGTTCTTAGCTCCTTATCTCAGTGCTGTTGTCAGAGCCTTTCCTCTTGCACAAGCCCCCACACACGCACACTTTGCTCTTGCAACCGCACCCCTTCAAATATGTACAGAGCGTCACCACAAAAAGAGCTGCTTGCTCACACTGAACCAGAGGAAATAAACATGCCACATGCATATCTTGTAGCCTTCGACTATGCAGTGTCTTTCTTTCATTAATTATGAGGTATTTGTTTTCCTAATGATTGTTTTTGTGTAGATATGAACCAGCCTTGTTCTTGCTGTAAGCCAAGATAGTTCTCCAGTGCCAAGGCTGTCTTGCATTAGAAATATAATTAGAAATTTCATTTTCTCTACAGCTTCAGTCCAAATTTAGCTTCTGGGAATCAACGTATATGACGTAAACGACTTAATGGCAGGCTTGCGGAAAATATACAGGACTGTGGAAAATATAAGCTTTTAGTTGTTGGTATGGCTTATATATTCCAAGTCTTTTGAGGTCATAGAATGGCTTTGTGTGAGAAAACTGCTTGTCAACACTAATTAGCATTAGCGAATGCGCTGTGCTATTCTGTTGAAGGAAAATAGGGAAACCCCGTATTAAATGTGACTCAACTGACTGATATTTTGTTGCATTTGATGAAACTGTGGATTTGGGAAAATTGCTCCTGTTTAAGATATTGTCTGGTTGTGTTTTAGCTCTAATAAAATATTGAATGTCTCTAAGGTCTGCTTTCACCAAAAAATCTGTGAGAGGAGTCATATCAGAAACATCAGACTGCAGGTGTGATGAATAAATGATAACGTAGTGGACTGCAGCTTTCCACAAAACTGACATTACTTTGAACTTTAGCTGGAAAGACAAACTGTGATCTGTGACATTTGGAAGTCCAATGAAGTTCAAATCAGCGCTTTTTGTTTTTGGTCTATATCTGTTCGCTTTGAGGCCATAAATATATGATTAAAAAGTTGGGTAAATTACTGATTAACTGTCATGGATATTAGCTGCATTGCAGGTTGCATATGGATCATTATGGTCAAATGTATATCCTGACGCTCGGTTTGTTTGTCTCCATATGCAGCTGCCGGCAGACTTCAGCAGATTGCACCTGGCAGACGGGATTCACCCCCAGGTGACACACGTTTCCTCCAGCCACTCAGGATGTAGCATCACCAGTGATTCTGGGAGCAGCAGCCTGTCGGACATTTACCAGGTACCAAACACTCTTTGGGTAATGTAGGAGTAGCAGCTTTGTGACAATAAAGTGCATAATCCAATTTGTTATAAACGTGACAAGCTTCATATTAAGGCCATTAAAAACTGGTAAGACATAGTTTATAGTTTTGTTTCGCATATTAGTTTAAGTGGCTCGGCCCGTCAGATGCTCTGACAGAAAGGCTGCATGTGCCGCTGACAGAGACATAGGCTACTCACGTTGTTTAATTTGTTTGAGATGTGCGGTCTTCCTGAATGCATAACTTACATTTCACAGGTATATTCTCCATCTGTAAATGTTAGAAATCCATGGAAATATTTCCATTTTTCTGTCAGAAGTGCATTAGTCATCGGCTTTGGGATTCTCCGCTAAACTTCAGTGAACGAGCACGCATGCACGCCAAACAGTCACTGAAATATTTGTAGTTGGACATGTGACATGTAGAATTTTAAACCTACAAGTAAGTCTATTTTTATGATAGCACTGACTGTAAAGTGACTGTGATGGAATAATCAAAATAGCCTAACACAACTCTGTGGTTTTGTTCTCATTTATTTTCATTTTTAGTTTAGTGAATTTAACTTCCACTTTGAAAGCCTTATTTTTGTTTTTAGATTGAAATGTTACAATGTTAGAATGAAATGAGATTTTAACCCTTTTTTGCACATAATATAAAGGCTTACATGGTTACATTCACTTTATTTGTTTTCATAGCCTTTAATATGTATTGTTTTGTTGGTCAACACTGGGCGGTAAGTGAAATATATATACATTATACATATATATATATATATATATCAAATACAGATTTTTTTAATTCAAATACAAAAATGAAAATACCGTGACCGTATAATGCAAATCGGCCAAAAAATACAGAGATATGAATTTTTGCCAATATCGCCCAACCCTAATATATATATATATATATATATATATATATATATATACACTGTTGCCATATGGCTAATTTTTTTCAAAAATCTGTTTTGATTTGTATAATTTCATGTAATAAAAACTTAACTTGGAAAAATGTATTTCATGGTTAGAACGTAATACATACCATACAGGGTTAAGTTATGTATATAATACTGATAAAAAGAGTCTTATTGCATTTATTGGATCTTAAATACAGTAAGAACAGTAATAATTTGGCAAAATGTTAAAATTTAAGAGCAATTTAAAATAATTGCTATTAAAATGTTCAAATATATGTTAAAATGTAATTTATTCCTGTGATGGCAAAGCTGAATTTTTTTGCATCATTACTCCAGTGCCACATGATCCTTCAGAAATCATTCTAATTTGCAGATTTGGTGCTCAAGAACATTGCTTATTTCTATCAATGGTAAAAACAGTTGTGCTTTTTAGGATTCTTTGATGAATAGAAAGTTCAATAGCATTTATTTGAAATAAAATAAATATTATAAATTTCACTTTTGATTAATGTGTCCTTGTTGAATAAAACTAATCATTTATTTCAAACAAATATACATGTATATGGAACAACACTGAACCATTTATTTAATGTGCTTGCAAATTTCATCCCTCTTTATTCGTTTGGCAGATGCTTTTATCCAAATCATCTTACTCAAGTGCATTTAAGGTACATATTTTATCAGTATGCATGCTCCCTGGCAATCAAACCCAACACTTCTGTCACTAAACATTTGTCACTATAACTAAACCTGAGCCAATGACCTGTGAAACTGAGCCAATGAGATTAAACTGAAGAACCCCATTTCCCTATTATATCTGTGCCAGTCTATAAAATGTGTATGTTTGCCTCCATTAATCTTATTAATAATGTTTGGCTTGGTATTTGCCTGGCTGTTTAATTGATTTCCCTGTGTGATGTGTTTGCGGATTAAAGATGTTTTGCGGCAGGTCATGTGCAAAGGTGTATGGGACATAATTCAGTTTATGCAGTGTCCCTGATCCTGAACATATGACCATCTGTTAAAGGCTCATTAACAGTTGGACAGTGTCCTCGTGAGAAGAGGTTGTGATAGTCATGCTCTACACTTCGCTTAACTACAGTTCTCCTCACCTCTCCCTGCGATCCACAACTCGTAAAACAAGAGCAGGCTAAATGGAATGTTGTCTATAAAATGGATGGTTTAAAATCTAAATTCTTATTGTATGTGTTTGAAGCTATTGAAGATGCACATTATTTTATTCATGTTTCTGCCTACAGTTAAGCTAATTAATTGCTGTATATATAATATATAATGAATGGTTCATTTTTAATTATTGTTTTACATACAGTTTATAATTTATTGAACATTAGTGTCTTTTATCATATTGCCTATTAATAAAACCAATAAGGCAGAAACCTTGTGCATCATGCCTAAGATCATCCCATACCCATGGCAAAATTACTGCAATGCACAGGCTCTTGTGACTTGTTCATTTGTTCAAATATACAGTAAAAACAATAATATTGTAAAAAAATTATTGCAAGTTAAAATAGCTGTTTTAATTTATTTAAAAATGTAATTTATTCCTGTGGTGGCAAAGCTGAATTATCATTATCATTACTCCAGTCTTCAGTGTCACATGATCTTTGACAAATAGTTCCAATATCTAACCTGCTGCACAGGAAACATTTCTTATTATTATCAGTAATTAAAATAGAATTTTGAAAAACATACAACTTTGATGAATAAAAAGTTTGACACAATATCATTTATTTGCTGAATAAAGGTGTGTGTGTGTTTTAAATTTTATCCAAAGTTTTAAACGATAGTTTATGTAAATTAATCTTAAAGTTTTAATGCAAAAAATACTTTTTTACTTTTTTTTAATTTTCCATTCAAACACTCTCTGAAGTTTATTAGTTTTCTAATTTAACATTTCCCTGCATTAAATTGATCATTTTGAATTATTCACAAAAATACACAACAGAAGCATTTAGTAGCACTAGTGGTCTCACTTTTGGACCCCACTGTATGTGGGTATCTTACAGTGCTTTTTGTTTAGAGTAATGGCCCTTATCCTCAATGTGGCTGTCAAAGCGGTCACTTTTTTTATTTTTTTATACATTTGAATAAATAATGATACAGGTTCTTCAGGGAGGCTTGAAAGCATTGATCCAAGAATAGCCCTGCTAAACAATTAATGTTCCCTTCACGCTCATCTTAGCCGCCCAAACAGTGCTATAGATCGCACCAGACATGGCAGTTTGAAAGATAAATCAGTTCCTTCATCGCCTACAATGTATTAACAGCCCCTGTGTTTGTCTGCACTGATTAGCTGTTAAATGGTTTTCATAAGGGAAGCCAGCTCGACTCTGCCTGCATCATTGGTGGTGTTTGATTCTCGTTAAAGTACAGCAGTGAAACTTTTTGAATGTTGGTTTATCAAGATGTGACTTGAGCGTGATACGTTTGGTTTCTTCCAGCCTATCTGCCAGACTTAATGATCTGGAGTGAGTCATCAACTTAACAGTGTCAGGATGAAAATGTGATGTAATGTAAATCCCAAAAGGTTCAGGTAATGGGTGACTGCTTAGTGTATTGATTTTAAGATCTTGAAACCGCATTAATCAACAGTCACTTATACATTTCCTCAACAAGATTGCTGTTGTTTAAGCTCATAGATTTCAGTCGTCATGCACCAGTGACTTACTGCTTTGGGAATGCATATTTAATTCATATTTGAGAGCAGGGAATACTGGGGTTTCCTGCGGCAGTTGAGTTTGTCTGTCATTGTAGTTTGTAAATACTGCTCATAGACGTGTGGTCATGTTTTAACTCCAATCTGATATCCGGGACAGATGTGTGCTACGGGGTTATCAGGCATCTGAGAGCTCGTGGAGGTTTTCAGCAGGATTTATGTCCATAAAGGAACAACTGACCCAAATTAGAAATTCTGTCTTCATTTACTGGTTGTTCCAAACCTGTATGACTTTCTTACATTAAACACAAAAGGAAATAGGTATGCTGGTTGCTCTTTTTTGTGCAATTACATTGAGCTTCCATGCTTCAAAAATGGCAGCAAAAGAATTTAAAAAACGATTCATGTGACTTTTGTGCAACTCTCACCATAAAACTTTTTTTAAAAAAAAAGTTTTTTTCTTCTTCTTTTGTGAGGAACAGTTCAAAAGTTAAGCTATTTTCTTGAATTTAATTTGGTAATCACTTTTAGTGAGCTGTTAACTGCTGTGACCAGAACAGTGAGTCATTGAATTCAACTTGAGAACTAGATCAGTCCAATTATTGAATTAATTGTTCAGGCTGGTTTTGTGAATTGAATCATAAAGAGATCTGATTGAAAAATAATTCAAGAATTAGACTCACTTCCCAAGATTTTAGTGAATAACAACTTAAAACATATGATTTAAAAAAACCTTGAAACATGTCTTTTTGGTACTATTTTGATGTTTGTATGCTGTTTAATAAAAAAAAAAAATCCAAAAAAATGTATTCCCAATTCACTGTAATTGCAATTAATAGACTTTCCATCATTTCTCCTTTTGTGTTCTGGGGAATTAGAAAGTCATACAGGTGTGGATTGACATGAGGGTCAGTAAATCTTGACAGAATTGCTATTTTTAGGTGATCTATTCTCACAAGTAGTTTAGACCTCTTTAAGAGGGATCCTTATGTGATGGATAGCCCTCTTGTTTTATATTAGTGCATTTTTCCTCCTGCCACATGACCATCCTCCCCCACTCCCCTGTCCCCACCCTAAAAAAGAGTCCAGCCTCACATCGCTCCGCCCAGTTCGCCCTCTGAGTGGCTGCTTTCAGCACCGTCTGAATATTTGATGAGTAATACAGGTCATTCAAGTCAAAATGACATGCGTTTGTGTGAGCCCAGATCGAGGGGCTTAAAAATTAAAAGTAGCTGGAAGCCTGAGCTCTAAAGATGCGGCTGGGACCCAGCTTCTGCAAACATTTGGTCAAGGCGTCATTGTGGGCAGTTTCTGGGAGGAATAGAGCGTCGCTGGGGCTCCTCAGCAAGGTGAGAGCGACTCAGGGTTGGTTGCGATAAGAGATTGTGGTGTACACAATGGGATGGGTGTTTCTTTTGTTGCCTACCTAGTCAAGTTGGGCAATGTCGCAGTGCTGGGTGGGAGTTGGGTTGTATTTTCACAAGCATATTCCTCTGTATTTTAATACCCAGAATATATATATATTTTTTACCTGTGTTTGGTTAGTTTGTTTTGTTGCAGTCATGTGCTCTGCTTCCATTTTCTTTTTCATTTGGAATTAATGGAAAAACATCTTGGTTTTCTTTAGCCTTGAATCCTAGTCTTGATAATTTTGTCTTTTTTGGTTCTTGCTTCTGAAATATGTTAGATTTTAAGTGTGTAACCAGCTCCAGGGTTCATGCTATTAATTTAGAAGAAACACCACAGTGACGTACAAATCTAAAACAAAAAATGTCCAAAATGCCTTTCTACGATTGACTGAACAAAGGTTTCTGACCCACAGGCCACCGAGAGTGAGCCCGGCGACATGGACCTCAGTGGCCTGCCCGAGACGGCCGTTGACTCCGAGGAGGATGACGACGAGGAAGATATCGAACGTGCCTCAGATCCCCTCATGAGTCGAGACATTGTCCGAGACTGCCTGGAGAAAGACCCCATGGACCGAACGGATGATGACATAGGTGAGTGATTAGCTTAAACCATCGCGCTACAACATGATTCAAACACCAGAGTTTGCTTGTGGAAGAAAGAGGAGATTCTTGAAAGCGATGAAATAATTTACCAGGAAAACAAGGCAACAAAAGGTCGGGGAGACTACAAAAGAAAAGCATGAGGGGGAGACGTGTTGTTTTTTTTCTAGGTCACCCTCTCAGCCGAGTCTCTCGGAGCGCATTAAAATTTGATTGGCTGAGCCACATCCACAGCTACGCTTCAGTGGTGCCGTGCCAAGCACAGGTCATCGAGTACCCAGACAGGCCACGGGCAGAGAACAAAATCCAAACTCTCTTGTCTTCGCTCTCCTCAATCTCAACTCAACCACTCCAGGCTTTGGGCAGCCCTGTCACACTAGCTAAAGCCAAGTACTTGATTTGGTTGGCCTGTCGAGCATGGAAAGAAAAACTATTAACTTGCTGGCCGGTTCCAGTAATTCATATTGATTGTAAAATAATGATTATATTGCAATAAATGGACACAAGTACCATGTTCTATGCCTCGAAATGGCCAGCACACTTGCAGGCATGCTAAGCTGTCAAAATGAGAAAGGCAAACTTGCCATAAATATGGAAATGGATTCTATACGAGCTCTTTTGGCCCTCTGGACTTTAATGTTATTGAAACACACTTTTCATACTCTCACTAGTTTATTTAATTTGCCTGCTGCCATTGTCCAACAGTGTTTACATATACATATAGCAGAGTAGAATTGTTATTTTTCTGTCAGCATTTCTGTCATTTCTGCCACATCCCAAATGATGTATTGTATTTAATAACTTCCTGTGCTGAAAATGGCATTTTATTGATTATTTCTCAGGTTTTCTTTCCACATTGCATGTTTTGAATTTTATCTCAATGACAACAACTGAGGGAAAGTTGTAATTTGGCTAAAAAGTGATAAAGTGAGCAATTAATGAAAAAAATCACTTACTAAATATTAAAGTGGTTTATTTTACTCATTGTGTTACTTTTTCAGAATTAAACTTGGTTTATCATGGTTTGTAAAATGCATTAATATTTTCACTTTACATTTCATTGTTGAAAATTGAGCATCTGGTAGAGTAAAATAATAAAATCTAATATATAAAATACATAAATTTGGAATGTAGCAAAAACAAATGATAAATGGTTCTACGACAGTTTTATTTTGACTTCCATATAACAAAAAATAAAAATAATAAAACTATTTGTTTTAATAAACCCCCCTGGGAAGTGTCCATAATTGAAGAAATTATATTCTGTTTCATTCTTGGTTACTGTGCAGATGGATTTTGTCATGTATAATATGTCCAGTATATTGCATAGCAGGATTAGCCGGTTCTCAGAAATAGCTTTGTATTAATAATGCATTTGATGCTTGGTTGCTGTTATTTTTATAGCCATGGAAAGAATGTTTTTCCGTTCTTCGTGTGGGAAGAACAAACTGCATCTGATAGAGAGAACAAATATCAATGAAAGACTTTCAAAGACTCTCATGCATCTCACTTAGTCTTAAATGTGACTTACACTTCTTGTTTCTCACCCTGTTTCTTCAGAGCAACTGTTGGAGTTCATGCACCAGCTACCGGCCTTTGCCAACATGACCATGTCTGTCAGGAGGGAGCTTTGTGCTGTCATGGTGTTCGCTGTGGTGGAACGGGCCGGCACAGTCGTCCTTAATGATGGCGAAGAGGTTGGTCAGACTTACCAAGACATGAGCCAGTAGCATTAAAATTTATATGAAGCCACAGTTTAACATTTAACCTATATGGGGTGACCCCGTTCTTTCAGTCGCTTTACATATACGTCGACTTTCCATGTCCACTGTGAAACCCGCGAGACACAACAAACACACAGCTCCCATCACAGCGTTCTCCATCCTCCTGTTGTTAACGTTGTTTTTCTTTGTTTCTGTTGTTGAACACCGCGCACATATGACGTCGCTGTCGACCGGCTTACGTCACTTCTTAGTACATACTCTCGGTGCGAATGCAACCCTTTAAATGGTACTGGGAAATAGTTCGCGCAAAATCGTCCCAGTACTTTAGTACCGTACGTTTAGTTCTGGAACTAAAGCGGAGTTAAAGGGCCTATTGTCTTCTGGACACCTGTCAGATCAGCAGTCTTCCCCATGACTGTGTAGCCTAGTGAACCAAACAGAGAGACCATTTTGAAGGCTCAGGAAACCTTTGCAGGTGTTTTGAGTTGATTAGCTGATTGGCATGTCACCATATTCTAATTTGTTGAGATAGTGAATTGGAGGATTTTTGTTAAATGTGAGCCAAAATCATCACAATTAAAAGAACCAAAGACTTAAACTACTTCAGTCTGTGTGCACTGAATTTATTTAATACACGAGTTTCACAATTTGAGTTGAATTACTGAAATAAATGAACTTTTCCACGACATTCTAATTTATTGAGATGCACCTGTAGTACATACAATGCATTTTTTCTTCATCGATAGCTGTTAGCCTAGCTTTTTACACTAATCCCATTTTAGTTCTTTCTTTAACCCTAATCCTCTCTCTTTTTTGAAGTTATGTCATTCATTTTTAAATTTTCACCAGCTTTCACTTCAGTCTCATGCTAATCTTGATTCTGTCGATTTGCTTACACGTACTGCCATCCCTCGCCTCCCTTTTGTCACAGCCAATCAGCCATTCAGCTTCTGCACCGTTAAACCTGAATGGATGCCAGCATTCAGCATCTTGAGATTACAAGATGCCCGCGGTACAGCGGGAATCACTTATCTCCTTATCTCAGTATTGACATGCCAAAAAGAGCCATTTTCCCCCCTAATGCATCCATATAATTGAAAGCAGGACAGAGCTCGAGGCTTGTACAGTTCAATGTGATGACATGTTCTCCACTGTTATCAATGCTCAAAAAAAAAAAAAAGCAGCAAGTAATTAGGTCCTTGTGCACAGGTTTTGTATTTCACCACAAAGGTTTATAATACAAACTGATAGTGATTTAAATTGTAATGCAACATTAAAAATAAACCGTATGTCCTCCTTTGTGTTACTGTTAAGCTGGACTCGTGGTCTGTGATTCTGAACGGCTCAGTGGAGGTGACACACCCAGATGGCAGGACGGAAATCCTGTGCATGGGCAACAGCTTCGGTGTGTCCCCCACCATGGAGAAAGAGTATATGAAAGGGGTGATGAAGACCAAGGTGGATGACTGCCAGGTGAGACAACCTTCCAAAATCTGCCAAAAAAAAAAAGATTTTCACATTGTATCTGATTGCATAGTTTCATTGTGTTAAGAAAATTATGCCTATTTTGTATTGTGACATTGCATTCTGAGATTATCAGATCTGTGAAGAATATAGTTTGGCAAAACCATCTTATAATGTGTCAAAAAAAAAAACTACATCCCTCCAAAAAAAATGTATTAACAAAATAAAATAATCTCCAGAAAGTTAAATGTATTGATGCAATAAACTTTATGCAGATTGTACTTGAGAAATATAAATTATATTTTTAAAAGCAATACAAATATTTTTGCATTAAATGAATTTACTTGTAATTGTAATACAAATAATATCTGCAAGGCTTTATTTTCTTATATAGATTTTTGATCAAATAAAAAAATGAGGAAGAATATCTCTTATCTCTGCCCAACCTATTTTAGCTGCTTGCAGTGTCTCATTTAGTGCAGAAGTGATGTGTTCCTGCCCATTCATTAAGCATGTGAATAATAGGGGTGATTAGTACAAATTTAGCAATAATGAAATATTGTTTCTGTTTCAGTGCACTGGTGTAATTATCATGGGGAAATCATTTGGAAATACTGCCTCATCTTAAAAGTGATTTACTTTCGCCTCTAGGTTTGTGTCTGCTTGCTCACTTTTGCTCTCGTTGTCTCTCTGTCAGTTTGTTTGCATAGCACAGCAAGATTACTGCTGTATCCTTAACCAAGTGGAGAAAAACATGCAGAAGGTGGAAGAGGAGGGTGAGATTGTGATGGTGAAGGAACACCGTGAGCTTGACCGCACAGGCACCAGAAAAGGACACATTGTCATCAAGGTGAGAACCCAACTCAGAACGAGTGTGACAAGTTTGTGTTTTTCACACCCAGAGGTAAAGAAATGTGACAAAAAAAGCTACCTGGTCTCATGACGAAAATGTACTAGTGTTGGGCGATATGCTCAATTTTCATATCGTCTTACCGTCAGCCTGTGAGATTGCCGATACACGATATTATCGTGCTAATTTATTTAATTACTTATTTACTTAGTTTCATTGCCGGAAAGTGAACCATCTCCAGCGTAAGGCTAAAAGCAGCCTAATGTTTTTAATATGACTGAATTTGTATTTAACATGATAACAAATTAATAGAAACATCGTAAGTTACTAATTATAATGCTTAAATTTCCTCAGTTATTAAAAAGCATCTACAGAAAACGAGCAAAGAACATTATATTACCAAAGAACATCATCACAAGCTCAGTCTAGCGCGAGTTTATGCACTTTAAAAACACACTCGTTATAATCAGTGAAGCTACACTGTATGATGAATAAATCTCTTATACTTACATTGCAGGTACATCTGCACTTTGTTGTTTATGATGAGAGAACTCGCGAGTCAGAATTCAGTCAGCGCGCGCTGAACAACAGACCTCTGCTGTTTCAGCAAAGACTCATATGAACGCCTCTGATTGGCCATTGCATTCATAAGCTCAGCATAATTGTGTGTGATTGGTTATAACACGCAACACTGTAAAAACGTGGGAAAATTAATATAATGCAACAAATAAGCCCTAATATTAATTAGATAGTATTACTAGCCTGATAATAATAATAATAATAATCATCTTGTTATCGTCAAAGGCATCAGCCACAGGCGATATCTCTGACGATACTATCGTCTATCGGCACAACCCTAAAATGTACCTCTGGGAACTTTTTTGCAAGATGTGCAATACCTATACCAATAAGTACATATCACTGCATTTTCCAACATAAATGAACACTAGAGGCGATAAAACAGAGAGCACTTGTAATTGTTTCCGTACACAGTTATGATTACAGCTCCATGTGTTTCGCTTTCCGGATGTAACAAGCTTGCTCAATAGCTCAGCCGGCACAGAATTGGACTTAGGATGCCGAATCCTTGGGTACGAATCCCGTTAAAAACATGACTCACTATAAAAGAGCTTAAAGATGAGAGATCGAAAAACAAGCTAAAACGTCATGCTTGCGATTGCATTTTTACATCACATTTGCTTTAGTTCATACTCTCAGGTAGGTTTAGGTGTAGTGCAGATGGTTCGATATTTTAAAACGTCACAGAGCATTAGACTTATAGCACCACTCAATAGACAGTCAGAACTCGGTGAGACTTATAAAAGTAACGTCACATAAAATGTACCATATGTACGTTCATCTCTTCCGGGGAAAAATGCCGAACACTCTTTTAAATCTTTTAGAAAAGTACATGGCTATACGTGTTTTGCGTCTTGCGAAAAAGTTGCCAGAGGTACGTTTTCATGACCAGGTTGCAAAAAATACAGTTCCCAACTAGAGAATTGTAATTTATACATAAATCATTTCTCAGATAGCTCACATCAAGATATCATTTTGTGGCACTTTGGCCAAAATAAATATTTTATTCGAGTTGTGAGTTTGCATTCTGAATTGAATCCAATGAGATGTGACACACTGCAAAAACTGTGTTCAATAGGAAACATTGACTCGCACTCTTGATTGATGTGGCATTTGCCCTGACACAGATGCATTGAACATAGCCATTTATTGATTCCTAAACATGGAAATATGCTTAGCACAGTAGAGGCATATATGGACTGAATATCAAATGTGTTTTTCACGATTCCAATATATTGATGATTGGAGTTGATGGAAAATTGCCCAACAACAATGAAACTGGATTAAAAATGCACTGCATTGGTGTCCTTTTAAGAACATATTTGTTTTTTTTTCAGGGCACACCAGAGCGTCTTACCATGCACCTTGTAGAAGAGCACTCGGTGGTGGACCCCACCTACATCGAGGACTTCCTGCTTACCTACCGCACCTTCCTGCCAAGCCCCATGGTGGTGGGCAAGAAACTGTTGGAGTGGTTCCATGACCCCAGCCTCAGGGACAAGGTACATAGACACTCTTACGCAAGCATTTAAGTCAATCAGTGCTCGATGAGATGAATGATTAGTAACGTAATATTTAATCAGGTTACACGGGTAGTCTTGCTGTGGGTGAACAATCACTTCAACGACTTTGAGGGTGACTCCGCAATGACGCATTTTCTCGAGGAGTTCGAATACAATCTGGAGAGAGAGGTCAGTTGTGTGCAATAAAACCTTCGATTTCTTGTGATCTTCAGTCGACCGCAAAAATGTCATGTAATGCCTCTCTTTGAACCAGAAAATGTGTGGGCACCTAAGACTGTTAAACATAGCATGTGCTGCCAAAGCTAAGCTGCGGGTGGTGACCCTGACCAAACCCTCGAGGGAAGCACCCCTGTCTTTCACCCTGCTGGGGGGTTCAGAGAAGGGCTTTCGCATTTTCATTGACAGCGTGGAGCCGGGCAGCAAAGCTGCAGAGGCCGGCCTTAAACGAGGAGATCAGGTAATGTCACACCAGCACCGTGCATGATCTGAAGTAGGCTACAGAAATAGTTGTAGTTGTTGAATTGACACTGTAATAGCAACTTGCTGTGGCATTAGCAGCAGTAATAGTAGTTGTGGGACTGGAAGTGGGAAACATTGTGTGAGAGCATTTGTAATTGCCGTTGTCAAGCGGTGAAAGCGGTTAGTCACAGCACTGAGAGCATACCGCCCAAAATCATAAAGAAGAAGAGCAAAAACCTCATCTTATGATTTTGTTTCCATTCAGTTTGTCATTCAAAGGTAAAAGCATACACATCTCAGCCTGTAAACTTGTTCCGTAGTCTAAATATGTCTGCCACACGTTTTCACTCCTTCACAGTTCACACAAGCGGAAAATGTGATTTCAGATGAATAGAGTATGTCGCACTGTTTCCTTTTGCCCTTCACTCACTGTATTTATATTTGACTCATAAAGCTGTTTAATGAGTTGCTATCTATTTGCCCTCCAAACCACATGAGGATTGTGATTGTTCAGAATGCTAATCATCTGATACTTGGCCGTTTTGAGATTATTGACAATAACAGTGTCCGCTTAGCCAGTTAACATATGTGGTAGTTCCCCTTGCATCAGTTGACAGCTTTGACAATGGATAAGCAATTTGTTGCTAAGTTTAATATGAGTAAATATTGTGTAGAATAAGTTTCCATTTAATTTATTTTGTGTTATATATCTGTCTGTCTGTCTATCTGTGTCTGTCTGTCAACTAATTAATTGCACATTTTGTCTGCAATTAATCAGGATTAATCCCGCCTAACATTAAAGTTTTTAAATATATTTTTATATTGCAATGATTTCACATTCAATCTTCAAATTAATGAAGAAACAACATAAAGACAGTATATTTTTAATATTTGATAAATATTTTTTTTATGGCTAAAGGTACTAAAGTAAATATAGATTAATCCTTAAAGCTTCAATTCAATTCAAGTTTATTTGTATAGCGCTTTTCACGATGCAGATCGTTACAAAGCAGCTTTACAGAAAATGTAAGTTTTTACATTATATTTAGTAATGACTTATCAGTGGTGACCATCTCAATTGATGTCCATATGGCATGGACATATGTTCGGTAAAAATCAAGCAGTTAGTTAATGTCATGTAATCAAACAGACGGTGAACACTATTAACAGCAATGATTAGATGTTGCAATCAAACTTATAGCAAAATTTGGTTGTTTTGTATGTTGTCTGAGGGTTGGCATCATCTGAGGTTTTCTGATGGGTTGGCATCATCTCTTCTCAGGTGTTCTCGGTCATCTCAGGTGAAGCTTGTGGGGCAGAAACAGAGAAGGAAATAGAGAAAAATTAGTGTAGCTGCTTTTCCAACTAAGCAAAAAATGATGTGTTCAACCCAAGTAAAAGAATGTTAATGTGCATTTGATCAGATGTAACTGAAGTACAAGGTTATGAGATACATTATGTGAATGCTTGGCTAAAGAGATGTGTCTTTAATCTAGATTTAAACAGACAGAGTGTGTCTGAACCCCGAACATTATCAGGAAGGCTATTCCAGAGTTTGGGAGCCAAATGTGAAAAAGCTCTAACGATTTTGCTATCTTAGGAACTACCAAGAGTCCAGAGTTTTGCGACCTTAGGGAGTGGGATGAATTGTAGCGTGATAGAAGAATAGTTAGGTACACAGGAACTAAACCCAGGGGCGCCGCTTGCAATTTTGGGCCCTATGAAAGAATATGAGATTGGGCCCCCTACCACACCAAACATACACTATATTATGTATTATAAACACTTCTTCACACAGGGCCATGTAGTTTTGGATTTTGTTTTCCCTTAATAATAAAAACCTTCATTTAAAAACTGCATGTTGTGTTCACTTGTTATCTTTTACTAATATTTAAATTTGTTTGATGATCTGAAACATTAAAGTGTGACAAACATGCAAAAAAATAAGAAATCAGGAAGGGGGCCAACACTTTTTCACACCACGGTATGTGTACAATCATTTTAGACACTTCCAAAACTGTGGCAACAAAGATGGAAATTCAATTTTTAAATACACAAATTATGTTTCCATCTTTGATGCCAGTTTTGGAAGTGCCTTTTTCTGTTCTAAAGAAAGGGGTGTCCCAATACATTTGTCCATATGTATGTACAAGTCATTGGTGTTTGGTGATGAGTTTTTGACTCAAGGTCTGCATTTAAAGTCACACCAGAGGTGTTCAGCTGGGATTAGGTCTTGGCTTTGTGCAGACCAGTCAAATTCCTCGACACTGACTGAAGCAATCTTTTTTGTTTTTTTACCTTGCCTTATACATAGAGGCATTGTTGTGTTAGAATAGAAAATGGTCCTGTTCAAACAATTGGTATAAAATTAGAAGCACACAATTCCCTAGAATAGCATTATATGCTTTTTTTACTAAATATTTGAAATTACTAAAGTAGGCAAACCTGTTCATTAGAAGGGGGTGTACCAATACTTTTGGCAATATAGTGTACAAGCCAGCCTAGCTATTCAAAATATTTGTCTGCAATTTAATAATATTGACCTATTACTTTTGCTATTGCTTTTGACCATTAGGTATCAGTAACATGATTCATTCAGAACCTGTTTTATTGACATTGACTTTCTCTACCACACTATTCTGCTGCTATGGAATGAGTTTGACTACTTAATCAGTTATATTAATAGAAATGCTTCACTGGGGCAAACAAAAAAATCCTAAAATAATAAATAGGATACCCCATAGCAGCATTTCCAGCAGTACCTAACATTTCTCAATCATGATCTTACTCCGCTAAATGTGACTATTAGCTTAACAGCTGTATTCCTTGTTTGCTAGCTACCTATGCACATACAGCATACAATGTTAAAAATGTTCTACATTATGAACCTTAACCCAAAAACCTTTAGCTTCATACACTGTAGATAATTGTGCAGACCAGTCAAGTTCTTCCACACTGACTGAATCAATCTTTTTTTTTTCTTTTTTAACCTTGCCTTATTCACAGAGGCAGTTTTTTGTTAGAATAGAAAGTGGTCCTGTTCAAACTATTGGTATAAAATTAGAAGCACACAATTCCGTTTCTGATAGGTAGCAGTAACGTAATTCATTCAGAACCTGTTTTATTTACATAGACTTTCTGTACCACACTATTCTGCTGATATGGAATGAGTTTGACTACTTAATCAGTTATATTAATAGAAATGTTTCACTGGGGCAAACAAAAAAAATCCTAAAATAATAAATAGGATACCCCATAGCAGCATTTTTTCCCCTCTATTTGCGTTCAAGATTATGAGTTTCTTTCTTGAGAGAATGGGTATTGCTGTTGTACCATAGCGCAGTAGGTTTTTCTCTAACCTTTTTTAATTTGATGGGGACAACAGCTTCTAATGTATTAGAGAAGATAGTGCCCATATTGCTAGTCATTTCGTTATTGATTTCCTATTTTTTCTATTTTTCTTTGATTAATAGACATCACAGCAGCTGGGTTATTTGGTTGCTATTACTTTAAGAGCAAACTCACATTTGAACATTAAAGCATACGTTACCTCACTGAGAGAATTTTATGAAGTAACATGTTATACCACAAACTGCACTCTGTGTGCTGAAAGCACACACTACTGAAATAAAACATTGTGTTTTAAGTATATTTATCAGCTGTTCCAGCTGCAATGTTTATTGAGATTTTAATCTTTTTTTTCCCAGTTACTAGAGGTCAATGGACAAAACTTTGAAAATGTGCTGTTATCCAAAGCCAACGAGATTCTCAAAAACAACACGCACCTGTCCATTACTGTGAAAACCAATCTCTTAGGTAAGCTACACTGGCTGAAATAACCACAGCTGCACAAACTGTTATTTAGACCCAACACAAATTGCCAGTCAGCTCTCTTTCCTCTTCAGTTGGGGAAAATGTAGCTGTAGTTCATTTTGTAAGGCTGTTTGTTGCTTGAAAATGTCAGATGGCATTGTTAAACTCATTTTCTCTGTGCTGTGATCACTGCTCTTAGTGTTTAAGGAGCTACTGGCCAGGCCTGACCAGGACCAGGAGCTAGAACTTGAGGAGGAGCCAGACAGGAAGAACGGGGCACCTCATATCCCCAAAATCGGGGACATTAAGAAAGCCAGCCGCTACTCCATCCCTGACCTGGCTGTGGATGTGGAGCAGGTCATGGGTCTTGAGAAAGCTAGTAAGAAAGCCAAGGCCAACACCGTAGGTGGCAGAAACAAGCTGAAGAAGATCTTTGACAAGACACTGACCAGTATTCTTCCACCCAAACCTTACAAGTAAGCTGAGCTTGATGCATGAAAGCTCTCTTCGTGATTTAGTTCCCTGTGGTGTATAACTCTTCTGGTTTGTTCACAGTGACGTTGGCGTGGGACAGTCCCAGGATGACAGTATTGTGGGGCTAAAGCAGTCAAAGCAGATCCCTCCTGCCCTTCCTGTTAGTGGAAACCTTTCATCAAGCAACCCTGACCTGCTGCAGTCACACCATCGCATACTCGACTTCAACAACCAGCCTGGTAAGACACTTAAGGTGGTTTAGCAAAGTAAGACATTTTACTGCATTAACATCCATGCTGGTTCTGAAACAACAATCTAATCAACCACTTTCATGCTAGGGTTAGGTTTAGGGGTTAAGGTTAGACTGTGGCTTTATGTTGGTCTTAAGGGGTGAACATCATTCTTATCAACTCTATAATTTTCTTAGTGATAGGGTTAGCCAATAATCATTTGATTATTGTGCACTTACCTTTAGGGCATCTACAGAACATTTCACAGAAGTTTAATCTCAGTGCATGCATATTTAATAAGATGCTCATGCTGTCCTGAATGTCCTCTTTCAGAAGCAGTCCCTATAAGTAAGTATTTGATCTTGTCCTCTTAGAGGTTCCTCAACTACTTTCATTTTCCTAATCACAATCTTCTTCAGGGCACTTCTCTGCTCTGACATTGATTTTGCTATCCAAATTTATGTAGAACAAATTTGGTGGTACTCAATCAAGTCTTAATCTATAAACACTATTCATTTGGTGGGATTCATGAAAATTATTTTGTTAAATGAATGTTGTTCACTGCTTCGTGTTGCTTTCACTCTTGAGGTTTTGTTGCAGTATAAGATTGATTGACCTTGAAGGTTAATTTGTTTGCTTGTTGTAAAGGTGTCTTCTGAGCATGCATATGCACCAAGAAAAATTTACAAAAAGCTCCTGTTAATAGGTTAATTTTAAAGTCAATAGGATAAAATGATGATGTAGAGATAATGCATAAATTAATTACATTGTCCAAAACTTTTCACACCAAGTGTGAAAGTGACAGTTCAATAGTTGTGTAAAATGATCATGGGTAACACATAAGTGGTTTTCCACCTAGATGAAGACTATATACTTGGGTGTTGGTTAATAAAAGGGTTAAGTATGTGGGTTTAATCCATTCCTCTGTTCTTTAGACATGTCAGACCAGGTATTAAGAGTGTTCAAGGCAGACCAGCAAAGTCGGTACATCATGATTGGGAAGGACACCACAGCAAAAGAAGTCGTAGCTCAGGCCATCCGAGAGTTTGCCTTGACCGCTGCCCCTGAAGCATATTCGTTGTGTGAGGTGTCTGTCACTCCTGAGGGTGTCATCAAGCAGCGGCGACTCCCTGAGCAACTCTCCAAACTGGCCGACAGGATCCAGCTTAGTGGCAGGTGCTGCCGTAGAGCCCTTGTGGCCATTTTGTTCAATTTTCTGTAGTATTATTGTGTCAGATCACTCAGAACATCCATTGACCTCTCGTTTAACATGTAGGTACTACCTGAAAAGCAACATGGAGACGGAGACACTGTGCTCGGATGAAGATGCCCAGGAACTACTAAGGGAGAGCCAGATTAGCCTACTGCAGCTTAGCACGGTGGAAGTGGCGACCCAGCTGTCCATGCGCGCCTTTGAGCTTTTCTGTGCCATCGAGCCCACAGAGTACATTGATGACCTGTTTAAGCTGAAAACTCGCCTAACCGGACCCCCCAGCCTCAAGCTCTTTGAGGAGGCCATCAATCGGGAGACCTTCTGGGTGGCCACAGAGGTGGTGCGTGAGCCCAACCAGCTCAAACGCATGAAGATCATCAAGCACTTCATTAAGATCGCACTGCATTGCCGCGAGTGCAAGAACTTCAACTCTATGTTTGCCATCATCAGGTAGAAGGAGTCTTCATTTTAAGAGGCAAAAAAATTAAGGGTTAAATTGAAGACCTCTTATGTATGTTATATTTTTGAAGTTAGGGTCATTAACAATGACATTGTGTGTCTTTTCCAGTGGTCTGAACCTGGCACCGGTGTCCAGACTGAGAGGCACATGGGAGAAGTTGCCCAGCAAATATGAGAAGCTGTTTAGTGATCTTCAAGACCTATTTGATCCCTCCAGGAATATGGCGAAGTACCGGAATCTTCTAAACAGCCAGAACCTGCAGCCACCCATCATCCCACTTTTTCCTGTAATCAAGAAGGATCTCACCTTCCTGCATGAAGGTAAGATAATAGTAGGTGATGACTAGTGTTTGTTTATTATTGAACCATAGTTTTTGGTAATAACATTAAAGTAAATTTTCCTTGGTTTCTTCCTTAACAGTCTGAAAAGTCCCTTTATTGAAACTTAACTACAAAAATGACTCATTCTGATCTCCTGCAACTTTCATCAGACAGATTAATACATAACCATCCACATTTATGTCATGAATGCATTTTCTTGGCTTTGTGTAGCACCTACACTCTACATAGCCTTTCTAAGTTTGTTTCAGACTAGGACTCTGATCTTTTCTGTTTAATCTTCTAGGTCATTGCACCGTATAAGCGAACACCAAAATCCAGAATGGCAATTGACAAGTTGATCCACTTCATCTCGCAGCACAAAACACTGTAAAGATCCTTGCACACTGAGTTCACAGAAATTCTTGGTCTTCTTTTTAATACGTGGCTCCAGTATCACTGGGAAAGCATCAAACTGAGCCACTGACATCCTGAAGTAAACTTTAAATTGCCTGTGATAATCCCGCTGCTCCTTAATAAGGAGGGGAAACTACTCCCTCTCTATATCTCAGGATTGGATGGACCCAATATTTCCTCTTTCTTTTTCTTTTTTAAGAAGAGAGAGGACAACAAAATCACCCTCACTGCATGAAGACTTCATTTTGTATTGTTTTGCTAATTTTTTAGTAACGGATTAATAATATGCATCGGACTCATTGTGCAAGGTTTCTGTGTGTGACAAATTTTTAGGTTGACGAATATGAAAAAGCACATGCGAAAATTTCAGACTCAGTGTGCAAGGACCTTAACTGTTTATGCGGTGCATTTAATGCTAGGTTTGTGCCTTTAAGGCACAGTTGCAAAAACTGCCCATTTTGAGAGTGTGAAATAGGATCATGACAAAAAAATTACGTTACTTGACACAAATTATAAAATAAAATTGTTATTTTATAAAATTGTGTGATATGAGCCTTTTCTTTATTGTCCACTCTAGGAAATGACTCGAAGGTGGACGGTTTGGTGAACTTTGAGAAACTGCGGATGATTGCTAAAGAGATCAGACATGTAGGCCGAATGGCAGCTGTAAACATGGACCCTGCTCTGATGTTCAGAACCAGGCGAGTGCCTTTCTGTTCTGACTGCTACAATGACTTCTTTGCCCTTCTTTCAGGCTGGACTCTTCACACCACTGAGTAGCTTTTAGTGCCAACTCACTGCGATGTGTACAGCTCTCACCTCACGCTTCCACACAAAAGAAGGTTTTTTGCTGTTGAAGTGATGTTTACGTACATGACAGTTAAACCATTTTGTATTGTTAGTGTCTCTCTTTTGGTCTCTGGTGCACCTCACCTTGGTACCCTTGGTCTGTTTCTTCTCATCTAAGTGTGTCTCCCTCTCTTTCTCTCATGGACTTTCTCTCTCCCCCATTTTTCTCTATATCCACCCTCTCTGCCCCATGCTTCACTATTCATGGCTCTCCCTTACAGGAAGAAGAAATGGAGGAGTTTAGGGTGAGTATGGTGAACTCTCACCTTTGGCCTTATGTGTGCCCCTTCCTTTAACTTGGGCTGGCTCCTTACCATCCATTATTTTTATTTTTATGGTTCATTTGAGAATGCTTCTGCTCTGACGGATCCCATCCAAGCATTTGACCGCCATCACTTTTGCTACTCGGGGTCATTGAATAAACTCACCTCATTCTAAAATACATCCTAATGTTTCTGTTGTATAATTACCATAGATTTTGAATGTTTCACAAACATGACCCCACTAGTATGCATGAATTTATTTACAGTTGTTTGGCACCTGCTCATTTATTAATTTGATAGCCCATGATCCATTTTTAGCAAAAGTGATTTAACGTGCCCCTTCTAGCTGAACTACTTGCAATAGTTGCACGCCTTCTAAGTATTTGCAGTTTTTTTTGTATTTTTTTTGTTTTGTTTTTTTAGTTTAAACTAATAATTATTTTATTAGTTTAAAAATTGTGATTAATGATATGTGTGTGAATTCAAACACAACTTTGTGTAAGATATTTTATAAGCGTAATATAAAAAGACTAATGATGCTAGTGGTGCAGGAATTACACACTTCACCTTTAAACATAAAATAAATGGTTGAAAAAAAAAATTGTTCAAGAAAAAATGTGACCAAAAATAATGACATACAAAAATAATCAGTTATTTTTTTCCAAATCTCATGCAAAGTTTAAGCACTCTACTTCTGTTGTTTTATTTAACATCCAGTTTGTATTTAACTGCCTGATTGGCTGAGATGTGAAATGCATGGAATGTTTGGATTGTTTTGAAGCTGCAAGGAATGCAACTTACTGCATGTCAAAGAGAGACTGCATCTGATCCTGCATCAGCATACTACCTACTGTTAAAGTCAACCCGCATCTTTAACTGTAATACTTATGTGCGTTTAGGTCACTCAGCCAGGGCAGTGCCAATGCAGCCGTCCTGGATGTAACCCAGACGGGCGGGCACAAGAAGCGGGTCAGACGGAGTTCTTTCCTCAATGCCAAGAAGCTGTACGAGGACGCTCAGATGGCACGCAAGGTCAAACAATACCTGTCCTACCTCACCCTGGAGACGAATGAGGAGAGCTTGCAGACACTCTCAATTCAGTGTGAGCCTTCAGTCAACACATGTGAGTTGCGTGTAAGCACACACACACACAACTGCAAATAGGTGAATCCACAGGAAACAACACTGGCATGTGAAGACATTTACCTCACATTAAAAACCTGCACATTCTACGGTATGTTAGTCATAGGAACAAACTATTCAGTATCTCTTATGCTTACAAAGGCTATATTTACTTGATTTAAAAAAAATTAGTAAAAGCTAAATTTGTAGAATATTTTTACAATTTCAAGTAACTGTACTGTAATTTATTTCTGTGATGTCAAAGCTAAATTTTCAGCAGCCATTATTACAGTCTTCAGTGTCACATGATCCTTCAGAAATCATTCTAATATGCAAATTTTCTTATCATCAATATTGAAAACAGTTGTGAAACCATGATACATTTTTCATTCATGTTCATTATAATGACTAGCAAATTTAAAAGAACATCATTAAAAAAGTAACATTAAAAATGTCTTAGTTATAAATGTTATACTGTCACTTTTGATCAGTTTAACGTGTTCTTGCTGAATAAAATATTTCTTTGAAATTGTTATTTTTTTCTTCAAGTTTTTCTCGTTCTGTAAATGTTTAGCTTAATATTTATTATTTGCCTTGTATATATCATCACAGTGCCGAAGAGTTCTGGGGACAGGAAAAGACCTGACACATCGCCCGTAGTTGCACGGGCCGCCACTCACCAGCGTCAGCAGCTTCAGAAAGCCAACCAGGCGCTTCAAGTGCCTGCCGTAGCCCTCTACCCATCACGCAAGAAAGTGCCGGTCAAAGACTTGCCACCATTTGGTAAGACCACCACATTGATGTAGCTTAAAAATGATCAGCTACTACATTATATGTTACTGGTGTTCATAAGAATCTTTCTGTATTTTCACAGGCACAAGCTCACCACAGTCTCTGAAAAAGATACTGTCTCTTTCAGAGGAGGCAGGAGAGAGACACAGGAAACAGACAGAGGATAGTGTGTCCAACATCTCCTCACAGCTGTCGTCTCCTCCCACATCTCCTCACAGCTCACCTAAGAAAGGTAAGCTTACACAGAGACACACTCACTGTGGTATTTTTTGTAAATTTAAATGTTTCTCCAACCTCTGATCTTTGCACACTCGATTTACTCTCCCTATTGACTTATCAGTAAACTGTGGAATCAGAGCCTTATGGTGCGCATGCAGTGAAATATATTGTCAGACAGCTTGTGCCCCACTGGCATTTCTCTGTTAGCTGGCGCCCCCTAGTGCCAACATGTTTTCATGGCTGATTTAATATGTTGAGACTGCCATCTAGTGGTAAAAAGATCACACGTATGATATGAAATATCCTGCCAAGGTTCACATGTTTTTTTACAAAACATTTTAGAACCCTGCTTGTCTCTGATTTCATTACTGTAATGTTACAAATGCTCCACTTTCAATCTCTACTTTTAAATTTGCATCACATAACATTTCTGTCTCTCATCATTCACATGTTTTACCCTGTATTCAGCCATTGCATCTATAAGAAGCCACAGTATGAAGGGTTTTTCCTCCTTCTGTAGAAAATCACCAACAGGTAACAGGTCCTGGATGCAGATTTAACCTGAGAGAGTTCACACAAGCATCATTATTGCTGTGTCTCAAAATGTAGTGAGCTGCCCACTAAAACATCATTCGTTAGAGGTACACTACCATTCAAAATCCTGGTAAGGTTTTTGAAATCTTTTGAAGTCTTATGTTCAACCAGGGTACATTTATCTGATCAAAAATACATTGAAAACATAATATTGTGAAATATTATTAAATTAAAAATAACTGTTTTCTATTTTAATATTTAATGCATTTTAATATTTATTATATATCTGTTGAAACCATGATCATTCTTTTTCAGAATTCTTTTATGAATGGAAAGTTTAAAAGTACAGCATTCATTTGAAATTTAAATATTACACAAAGATAATGCAAGTAAATACAAAATGCAGTTTTTAAATGATGATTTCATTTATTAAGGGAAAAAAGCTGTCCAAACCTACGTGGCCCTACGTGAAAAATTAATTGCCCCTTCCTGTTAAATCATGAAAGAACTGCAATTAACCACATTATTTTAGAAAGCTGAGTTAAATTTCACTAGCCACACCCAGGCCTGATTACTGTCAGACCTGTTGAATCAAGAAATCACTTAAGTGGAGCCTGTCTGACAAAGTGAAGCATGCTTAGAGAGCAACACATCATGCCGCGATATAAAGAAATTCAAGAACAGATGAGAATCAAAACAGTTGACAGATTTAGGGGGCAATTACTTTTTCACGTAGGGCCAGGCAGGTTGGGACAGCCTTTTTCCCTTAATAAAATAAATCATCATTTAAAAACTGCATTTTGTATTTACCTGCTTTATCTTTGTGTAATATAAAAATTTGTTTGATGATCTGAATCTTTTAAGTGTGACAAATATGCAAAAAATAAAAAAAAACAGGAAGGGGGCCAACACTTTTTCACACCACTGTATATATATATATATATATATATATATAAATTTACCGAACCCAAAACCTTCCGTCCCTTTGAGGTGTTGGTTGCTTTTGAAGTATTGAGACACAACCAATGAGATGTTTTGTTTTCAGTTATGTATTTCAGTCCTATGATTAATCAGTGACATTTGTGTCCAGACTTTCTTTAGTGGTAATATCAAATGTTATTTTTGTGTTATATAGTACATTGTTAGTTGGAGGTTCCACTAATGATTTTATACTTTTCTAAATATCAGAAGTGCTGACATTTGCGTGAACTCTCTCACCAAGTCTAGACAGTGTTTTTGCTCCTGTTGTAGCTGGCAGAGGCAGGCTAGTGCTATAGCTCTGTGTGTGTGTGTGTGTGTGCGCGCGCTTGTTACTGAAGTAACTGCCTTGTTTTGATTAGCTAATCTAAGAAAGGGGTGACTCTAGTGTTTAGGAGTTGAATCTTCTCTGACACCCTGAATATAAACTCTTCTTTCTTGCACTAATCATTGTATCATCAATTTCATCATGATGTAAACAGGAAGGCTTATTATCCATTAGTAGGTTAAATGAACAACTGTTGTGCAATTGTTTGACAATGCATATTGCTCGCCGTTCGCTGTCTTACTAAAGACGCCCGCTGGCGGTGAGCCTGGGTGCGAGGGCCCGTTCATCGCTGCTTGCAGCTTTAATTTCAAGTTATGACTGCAACCACAAAATGTAGGCATACAGTGTGAACACTGACACAATATCTCACAGATATTCAATAGCTCTGTTCCAAAATCTAGTATACTGCATTTTAAGACAGCATTTTAATCCTTCAAAGTCAAGGCATTCCCAGAATGCATTGTGACAAGTTCAGTAAAAATAGGTTATAAAAAAAAAACTGGCTATAAATATATTTATGTGTTATTCAGAACTCAAAAGTAACTCTACAATAGTTGGTTGGCAGCAAGGTAGCTCCATATATTCTGGAACAAAATATTTTTAGGTGAAAAGAGGCAATTATAGAATGGGGTACCGCAGGGCTCTGTATTAAGGCCAAACCGTTTTCTGATCATGTCGTTCTGTGTACTCATTTGCCAGGCTATGGAAAAGCAGGTGACTATCTGTCGGACTCTGGCCACAGCGAGATCTCCTCACGCTCCAGTCTGGTGAGCACCTCCTCCCTGGATATGGGACAAAATGAACGCAGACATCGATATGGAGTAATGGCTGGGGAGGGCCATGGCAGTGGCCACCGGCTAGAACGCAGGGCTACTGCTGATCCTGACCAGTACAGCTTGGGGTAAGCAGTACTCATTACTCTTTCAACTAGTTGTATTGTTGCCTGAATCACTAGTCAGGTAATTGGTCTAAAGCAGTACTTCTCAAACTTTTTACACCAAGTACCACCTCAGAAAATATTTGGCTCTCCAAGTACCACCATAATGACCAACATTAAAATACAGCAGCGTAGTAGGCCTAATTATTAAACTACAGCTATGCACAGTTAAAAAATGAGGCAGTTTTATTCCTAATAAGAATATTTATTATTGTCTGCCACTTTAAACATTGTAAATACAGTTTGAACATTAACACTGCACTGTGCTTACATACAGGTAAATAAAAAACTTAAATGTACTCTACCTATAAGTTAAATAAAAACTGCACTGTACTTTAAAAGTAAAAAAAAAACTGTACTGTACTTAAATGTAAAGTAAAAAATTTACAGTACTTGATCAAAAAATGAACACAGGCATCATTTAGCCACCTTGCAAACTTTTTAAAAGTGTTTTAACAGTGTTTCCCAACCTTTTTCCTGCCACGGCACAGTTTTGATATGTAAAAAAATCCCACGGCACACCACTAAGCATTACAAAAAAAAGATAGAAAGGGGAAACGTATTTTTTATTATTCGTTTTTTTCCAATAATTAATTGCGTCATCAAAGCTGGTATTTTGGCTTTATATATGATCAGACACTTGCACTTACTTTCTGAAAATCATACTCAAATGGAGTTAATGAGGTTTTTGACAAGCGAGTGACAGAGATCTGTGTTTTGTCCATCATTAGAATGGGCGAGTCAGTAATTTAATAGCATCATGTTTTCACCAGTTTGCAGGTTATAAAGTTTATTGTAGCTATATGGGCGCTCAGTTTCTCTTGTTGTTAATACATTTGGCCAAAATCTCACGATATAAAAGACGAACAGCTGACAGTTCTTTATTTACCCTTGCACTGCAAAGAAGTAGAAGTCTGACTTCAAACTGAACATTCATTCTGAATGAAGCGTGGATGGAGTTATGAGGTTTGACTGACAATTTGAGGATCCAATGGCGTGTTTAGTCACAAGCTCTTTAGAATGCTTTTCATTGGTTAAATATTTGTAAAATCCACAAACCGACATAACAATGACCAATAGCACTGATTTAAAATAATAACGAAATATAAGAGATAAGGACGTTTTTGATAATTTTCCACGGCATGCCCGACAACAGTGGTTGGGAAGCACTGTTTTAACATTAATTAATATTTAGTGATATTAATCAGTGATTCCTCTGCATACCACTAGAGGGAGCCACACTTTGAGAATCAGTGGTCTAAATCAACCCTGGGTTAGTTAGGCTGTTTTTGGGCTCATCTGACCCCATTCGGAAATTTTTCTCAGGCAGTACTTACATAAGACCACGTTCTTGAGTTTAAAAGCAGATATGCAGGTTTCAAATATGAAACCATTTTTTTTTTAAATGATGCATAGTGTTAAAAGTACAACACTTGTGGCGGGGCACTCAAAAATAAAGTGTTTTATTATGCAAACTGGAAATACCAGTACCACACTAAAAAGAGCAAACAGCAAGTCTATATTAAGTTACCATCATGGCCAAGTCCTGGCAATGCAGTTACAATTAAACCCTTCTGGATTCTTCTACCCTTTCTTCTTTCAGGTCCTACTCATCAATGCAGGACTGCCGGGGTCTGTATGTGGGCGCCACCGTGCTGTCTTCCCCCAGCTCAGAGGAGCTTACCCAGGACCAGGGTGACCGGGTGTCTCTCGATGCTGCTGATTCTGGTCGTGGCAGCTGGACTTCATGTTCCAGCGGCTCCCATGACAACATTCAGACCATGCAGCAGGGCCGTAGCTGGGAGGCACTTGCAGAGGGTGCGGGGCTTTGGGGAAGCAGAGGAAGCTGGGCGTCTGCCTGCTCCTCTTCGTCCTCTGCGGCATGTTGGGGCGAGGACTCTGAGGGCGACACGGGCACCATCAAGCGAAGAGGAGGGAGGGATGTGACCACAGACCCAGAGACCAGCAGCATCACCTCCACTGGTTCAGAAGAGTCCAGGCAGCACAGTCGACGCCCCTCACCCATCACTGCAGGCAACACCAAGGCTGTGATCAGTAAGAGTCGCCACATTAACCTGGTTTGAAGGGATAGTTCACCCAAAAATTACGATTCTTTTGATATTTACTTACCCTCATGTTGATCCAGTGCTGTATGTTCTTATTTTTTCCATATAACACAAAAATGAGAAGCATCAAAAAGCTTTTTTTTTAAATTCAGTAGCATTTAAAAGTTACCATTTCTGCTAGCTTCATAATGGGCAAAAAACTTACCATAAAATTGGTCCATACACCCCGTGGGCTAAGCTTTATGAAGCCATACAATAACTTTCTTTGAGGAACATTTTGGAAAAAATCTGTTATTTACTGAAAATTTTGCCCAAGTCAAGTATGATACCTTTTGGTGCTTAGTGCTCAAAAGATGTGGTGGGGGAAATATTTCGATTTTTGGGTAACCCTTTAAAAGGGATAGTTCACCCAAAAATGAAAATGTTGTCATCAATTACTCACCCTCATGTCGTTTCAAACCCCTAAGACCTTTGTTCATCTTCGGAACACAAAGTAAGATATTTTTGATGCTGCTGACATAGAACTATAATTACATATAATTAACATTGTTTACGAGCAATGGAATACACACTCATGGTACTCTCGATAATGGCGGCAGACTGTCCCGGGAAATATTAAGTCATTATTTTTATTTTCTTTGCACACAAAAAATGTATTCTCGTAGCTTCATAAAATTACAGTTGAACCTCTGATGTCACATGGACTATTTTAACGATGTCCTCACTACGTTTCTGTGCCTTGACCATGGTAGTATCCATGCTGTCTATGGAGGGTTAAAAAAGCTCTCGGATTTCATCAAAAATATCATAATTTGTGTTCCGAAGATGAATGAAGGTCTTATGGGTTTAGAACGACATAAGTGAGTAATTAATGACAGAATTTAGATTTTTGGGTGAACTATCTCTTTAAGAGGAACTACACCAAGTTATATTTCCTAACCTATCTGTTGTGTTTACATTTATCAAATGTTGAATTTTTGCATGAAAAATACATTCCCAACGATCATACTAACATCTGAAAATGAACACTACAATTGAATTGAACACTACAACGTGGAACAACACAACAAACTACCTACAAAAGTGATCTTTCCTGATCTAGTGCATGTCTGCATGTGTCCGTCCACATGTGTGAAAAGCGTTACGGATATTAAACGGATCTGTGGTGTCCGTCTCCTCCCTCAGCACGGAAGGATGGTCGTTACCGAGACCCTCCTCCCACGCCGCCGGGCTACACGGCACTGACCATCACAGATGCAACCGAGGGTACGGCTCACTCGGGCAGGAGACCACCGGACTACACCACCGCCTTGCAGCGCTCCCGTCTTGTCACACATTCCCCCGACTCCCAGCAGCCCCCAGCTGTGGGAAAACCCACCCATTCGCCGGACCCCCGGGGCCGAGAAGAGGAGGAGGCAGAGGAGGTGGAAGAGGAGGGTGAGTGCTTGTCTCCCAAACTCAGAGCTCAAAGGAGGAGAGGTCCACACACAGCAGTTCCCCCCAGGCCATGAGTTACATACACCACCCCAACAGGAAGGTAAAACATCCCAAAATCCAGTTACTTCCACACTCACGCACTCCACGCACACTCACGTACACCAGTCACGGTCTCTGCATGCCAGGAGGACAGCTCCTTCACCTGCCCACCATCACCAACCACCAATGCATCTCACACAGTGCATGCGCTGCCACAGAGACAGCCTGCCCCCCGTCGCCGTGGCAACATCCCAGTCATTGCTCCCTGATCTTAGAGACGTGTGTATTGGCTCTCACCCATCAGTGCTCAGAGGAAAATCACTAGATCTGCCATCATAAATGCTTGAACACATGATAGAGCCTGAAGTTGTGTTTGTGTTGTCAGGTAGCACGTAAAATAGTGTTAGTACTTATCAGCACAAAGATCCTGATTTGGGGAATTGTCCTATTATTAATTTTCACAGTAGTAGTCTTTCTTGTCTTGTCATGTTTGTCTTTGGTATGGTAAGGCCAGAGCATATTTTATTCCTTATTATATTTAGCAGTATGCCTGTGACTTTGTTCCAAACCCCAGTGCATTTCCTGCCCTATACAGCATTTTTAAAGGGGTCATATGAAAAATAACATTATTTGGTGTAATGAAATGTGTTTATGCGGTTTAAGGTTCAAAAAACACATTATTTTCCACATACTGTACATTATTGTTTCTCCTCTATGCCCCGCCTTTCTGAAACGCGTAGATTTTTACAAAGCTCATCGGTCTGAAAAGATAGGTGTGCTGTGATTGGCCAGCTATCTAGTGCATTGTGATTGGCCGAATTCCTCAAGCGTGTGACGGAAATGTTACACCCCTTACCATACTGTGATGGCATGTCCTGGCCGGAGCCATGAGACAAAAACATTAAAACCCATTATAAACAAGGACATTTGTTGCATCCAGTGGGGACATAATTACGGATTATAATGATTAATATTGTCTTTTTTTCGCGTTGCGTTGCATCGTGCCTCGATCGGAGAAATGACAAACAACAAGCACTACTCTACACTGCTCAAAACTCACGTTTGATTCATCAGTGGGAAATCCTTAAAATGAAAACGTACTTACAGTCTGTGAGTCAGAACAGCCGGCATTGTAGTCTACTCTTCCAGGATCAGGAAACAGTCTAAAATGTGCTTCACACATCTGAATATTTGGGTTGAACTGTTCTGGAACAGTGTTGTAAATACAACTTAACCACTGATTTCTAGTCGTGTCCTCTTTTGGAAGACCAAACAAAGTAGTTTCACACGGCGGGCTAGAGTGAGAGGAGGCCGGCGGGCCTGAGTGAGTGGCGGCGGGCGGGCTTGAGAACGGCGCGGCCGGCAGATTCCATGAAGGAGCGGCCAGCGGGCTTGCGGTAACCACATGTGACGACCCCAGGCTGGACTCTGTTTCATCCACGGTGAAAGCCGATCCAGCGATCCACAGTGCGAAGTTGATGTATTTCCTCAGCGATCAGCACGGATCAGCTCTAGGCATGACGAAGCGGATATCGTCCTCTTTTGGAAGACCAAACAAAGTAGTTTCGCTTTCACAACGAAACACACAGCATCTCCACGACATGGCGGCAGCAACAATACTACAGCGAGAATAAAAGTTACGCCTTCTTTCTTTGCGTGAACATTTGGGTGGCGTTATGCAAATCTTCCAACATCGTGATGTGAATATGGGGGGGGGGGGTTTTAGAACGAGCCGTTTTAGGTAGGCGTGGTTGCCTCTTAACTTTTATAAAGAATCTCTTTGGATTTGAGACTTTAGTCTTTGCAACTTTACAGATCTTCTTTATGCACCAAGAGCTTGTAACACTCCAAAGAGAAAGGAAAAATTGAACTCACATCATATGACCCCTTTAAGCGTCAAAAATAGCACAACTATGCTGCCTTACATATTATGTGTGTGTGTATTTTTTTTATATGTAGTCTATATATAATACAGTAAATTTATATTTAAATACAGTTGAAGTTAAAAGTTTACATACACCTTGCAGAATCTGCAAAATGTTAATTATTTTACCAAAATAAGAGGGATCATACAAAATGCATGTTATTATTTAGTTAAGTACAGTGCAGTCTTATTTAGTACTGACCTGAATAAGATCTATTTCACATAAAAGATGTTTACGTATAGTCCACAAGAGAAAATAATAGGTGAATTTATAAAAATGACCCAGTTATTCTTAATACTGTATTGTTCTCTGAATGATCCACAGCTGTATTTTTGTTTAGTGATAGTTGTTCATGAGTCCCTTGTTTGTCCTGAACAGTTAAACTGCCTGCTTTTCTTCAGAAAAAAACCTTCAGGTCCCACAAATTCTTTGGTTTTCCAGCATTTTTGTGTATTTGAACTAGGGTTGCAAAATTCTGGAAACTTTCCATGGGAATTAATGGGAATAAACTGGAAATTTGCTAAATTGCAGGAACTGGAAACTTAAATGTAGTTGAGAAACAATCTTGCAGCATAATCTTGGTTAAAACTACCAGATTTAAGGCAATTTCAGTTTAATTTCTACCCTACACATTGCTCAATCACATGCATACAGCACACTGCTTAGTGCAGGGCTATTGAGGCCACACCCCCTACATGCACTGTGCTTTCCTGCATAACATGAACAGATCATTTCTTAAATCCTGCACACAAAATATCAAAATGTCCATCTTGGTAAGTATTCATGTAAATTACATGAATAATACAAAAAAACATGTTTAAAACTTAATTGTGCTGTGTGTAATATACTGTGCAACTAAAATAGGCTATACCATTGTAAAAACAAATACACGGACTGAACAAACATTTGAGATGATAATAAAACGGAAGTCTAAAAATGACCCTCCCCCACACACAATCCCCTCTAGTCACCTAAGAGGGGGATTCCCCTCCATTTTCTCCGAAGCCACACTTGCTGCATTTGAGCCCAAAGACTACATCTAAGTTTTGATATTCTAAATATATTTGAGTTTAACTAGTAAATACCAAAAAGTGTTTATACACTAGCTAGCCAGTAAATTAAGATATGAAAAATCGAAGCGAGTTAGCACTATTTCATTGACAATTTATGAGGTATGTGCTAGGTAGCTCAAGCTAGCTGATGCTCTTTCTGCTAGCCAGTTTTCTGTTATCATGCAGAAGAACAATACTGGTCAAAAGTTTGGACACATTACTATTTTTAATGTTTTTAAACATTGCATATCTTTTGCTCATCAAGCCTACATTTATTTGATAAAAAATGCAGAACAAACCAGTAATATTGCGCAGTATTACTGGTATTACAATTTAAAATAATGGTTTTCTGTTTTGTTATACTTTAAAACAATGTATATCTGTGATGCAAATCTGAATTTTCAGCATCATTACTCCTGTCTTCAGTGACGCATGATTCTTCAGAAATCATTCTAATATGCTGATTTATTATCAATTTTGGAAACAGTTGTGCTGCTTATATATTTTTTATTACCTGTGATTCTTTTTTCAGGATTCTTTGATGAATAAAAAGTATTTAAAAAAAAAGAACAGCGTTTATTTAAAATAGAAATCCTTTTTTAACAATACATTACCATTCAAAGTTTGGGGTCAGTATCTTTTCTCTTTTTTTAAATAAATTAATACTTTTATTCAATAGTAAAGTAGTAAAGTAAAGACTTATATTGTTAGAAAAGATTTCTATTTTGAATAAGCACTGTTCATAAGTTTTATTTATCAATAAATCCTGAAAAAAGCAGCACAGACGTTGTTGCATTTTAATGTTTTGTTAGTCTAGCCCACGAGACGCGCCGCTGCTGTGTTATGCATTCAAAATATTAGAGAAATATAGAAGCTCAATGCGTAGAAGATCTTGATTAGGTGAAAACCGAAACCAAGCCATTCACACAGATGCATATTCAGCGCATTTTTAGACGGACAAATATGACTGCTGCACTCGCGTCTCACACAAGAGATGTAGCCATGCAAAGTTAAAACAGTTTAAACGTCGCAAATTTGTGGAGGCTTTTTTTTTTCACTGCGTCTTTTAAATGCAATCTGCGTGATGGGCGATTCAGCTCTTTGTATTAAGCAATGCATAAATACATTATGCTATTTTGTTCATAATTGTTTATGCAATTTACGAAATTTATATTTGATTTATATGAGTTAATTTAGACGTAATGCAGGCTTTTTTGAAGACATTTATTTCTTTGCGTTGACAATTTAAATGTGCTGCATTATTTTGCTCATTGCGTCCTCCTGTGGCCTCGGGAGACAAGACAAACGTTTCCTTAAAACCTATTTAATCCACATATAAAACATTAGAAATTAGATATTTGTTTAATTTTTATTGTGTGTTTGACTGTTAAAACAAAAAAAATTGGATGTTTTTCTCAATAAATTGGGTTAATTTAAAAATACAGTGGTTAAATTTAAACATTTTTTTCTATTGATCTTTGTTTTAAAAAGGTTATAAAAAATGTCAATAGTTATCGATACTGAACAATATAAAACATTATATCGTTGATAAATTTTTTAGCTATATTGCCCATCCCTAATTCAAACACTCACTGATGCTCCAGAAGGAAAAACCATGCATTAAGAGCATTTTAAAGATTAGGGTAAATGTAACTTATTTTGTCTTCTAGGAAGCATGTAAGTATCTTCTGTAGCTTCTAAAGGGCAGTACTAAATGAAAAAAAAAAAAGATATTTAGGCAAAATAAGAAAAATGTACACATCCTCATTCTGTTTAAAAGTTTTCACCTGAATAAATATCTTATTCAGGTCAGTACTAAATGAACAATAACATGCATTTTGTATGATCCCTCTTATTTTGGTAAAATAATTAACATTTTGCAGATTCTAGAAGGTGTATGTAAACTTTTGACTTCAACTATATATATTAATATCTAATTATAAATATCTATAATCTATATAAATCTCTCTCTCTCTCTTGCTATGTATATATACACATACATATAGACACAAACACATATAGAATCAATGCTTCACTCCAAACTACGCCATCTAAAATAGAATTTTATATAGTTATATTGTTAATTTTATTCACTACTGACAACTATTTCTATCTTTTCAAAAACTAACTTTTTTGTATGCCATGTGTTTTTTTTATAGTTAGAGTTACATTGTTCGTTTAACAGTTATGGTTAGTCACTTGTGAGTGATGTGAGTAACATGTTGCTGCATATGAAGTAGGGCTGGCTGATATAGCTAAAAAATTTAATGTTTCATACCGTTCGGTATGGATAATTATTGACATTTTTTAATCAATTTTTTTAAAACAAAAAGCAATAGAAAAAAGTTTACATTTAGCCACTGTATTTTTAAATTAACCCAATTTATTGAGACAAACAAATATTTTTTTGTTTTAACAATCAAACACAAAATAAAAATAAAAAATCTAATTTCTAATGTTTTATATGCAGATTAAATACGTTTTAAGGAAACTTTTGTCTTGTCTCCCGAGGCCACAGGAGGGCGCAATGAGCAAAATAATGCAGCACATTTAAATTGTCAATGCAAGGAAGTAACTTTATAAAAACGTGCATAACGTCTAAATTAACTTGTAAAAATCAAATATAATTTCGTAAATTGCATAAACAATTATGAACAAAACAGCATCATGTATTTATGCATTGCTTAATCCAAAGAGCCGAAGCGCCATTCACGCAGATTGCATTTAAAAAAATATGAGATGCAGTGAAAAGGAATAAACCTCCACAAATTTGTGACGTGTTTTCTAAAAGTTTAAACTGTTTTAACTTTGCATGGCTTTCTATACATCTCTTGTGTGAGACGTGAGTGCAGCAGTCATATTTGTCCGTCTAAAAATGCGCTGAATATGCATCTGTGTGAATGGCTTGGTTTTGGTTTTAACTTAATCAAGATCTTCTCCGCATTGAGCTTCTATATTTCTCTAATATTTTGAATGAATAATGCATGGCGTGTCTCGTGGGCTAGACTAACAAAACATTAAAATGCAACAACGTCACTTACATCATTATCACCGCATCTCGCGCGCCACTGATGACGCTCCCAGACGCACACCTAACATTCAAATGCAAATGTTTATTTTAAATTCAATTAATATTCATTCTTTATTCACAATCTCCTCATCACAGGCAGGCACAGCACTCATTTCAGCATGTGTTTGTGTGTGCTGTCTGCGTCACTCATAGCACGTGCCTATATCGTGCGCTATATCGAACATTTTTTCTATCGATACCGTTTTATCGCCCAGGCCTAATATGAAGCATTTCATATCAGTGACCATTTCAGTTAGGATGCTTCACACAGCCCCAGTTCCAGTCTACCTGCCATGATGGTAATTTTTTATTTTTTTATTTTTTTTAGCATTGCATTATTTGGTTCCAAACAGTGGTGTGCTTGCACCATCAACATGAGTATTCCTGTGATTACAAAACTAGTGGCAACTGTTTGCTAAGATAAGACGATACAAGTTTTATTCCAGTTTTGGTTCCTTTGCTTTCATATGCACAAAACTGCACTTGCATCTGTTTACTGCAAATGCAGTGTAAGAGATGTGAAGTTTGTGACACCAAAGGCAGTTTCTGCTGAGACAATGAGTAATGAGAAATGCACATTATCAATAACAGTTCACTTTCACATGTCACTCGGGTTTGGATCAGAGCCTGTGTGTTTAGGTGATTGTCCTGGATGCTCACAGAGATTCTCTCTTCTTCTTCCAGAGGATGAACAGGTGTCTGCTGTTTGAAAGGGGGCGACACTGGCTGCACTGCTGCATTGACTCATGGCCAATATGGGGCATTCACAGGTCAGACAGACAGACCATCCAGTCTACATTTTGCCGGCACTGCCTCTCTCCCTCAATGATGGATTCATCTCCCTGCCCTGCCTTAATGCATCATGGGGGGTTTAATGCCCTGCATGCTAAGAAATACTGTGAAGAAAGGAGGCGAGCAAAAAAATAACTTATTTGACACTTTGGAGAATGGAAAAATGAGCTGAACTGAAACTCGAACACAGCGCTTTGACATTCACACACACACACACACACACACACACACACAAAACTACTGTTAACTGTTATCTTCAGACAGTTCCCTCTTTCCTTCTGCTTAAAGGTCACATGAACGTTTAGTAGTGCCCCTCAGCACTTTTTAACTGTTTTTAAGGTGTAAACTGATGCACACAATCAACATTTCAGTCACCCAATTCTGGACATGCAGTTTGGATGGCAAAGAAGGCTTGACTACAACTTAACGCCACTCCTTTTCACATCAGTCCTGATGACAACACTCATATCTGTGTGGTTCAATATAACAGTATTATATTTGCAGGAGCACGACTTGAAGGACATCTCTTCTGCTGGATGACTATAAATAGAGTTCACATTGACTCCTGACATACGTAGCACACCGATTTAATCTGGGCGCTTTGTGAGAGGAAATGATGCTAAGTGAAGCCTTAGTGAGTGATTTTATTGGTTTTTGACTGCAGTGGGTTTGAGAGCTGTAAGAAAGCATCAGGTTTGGTCAAAGGCCTCATAACAAACATGATACAAAAACAAAAGGCTGAATAAATTTACATCTGTTGGTAATCGAGGCTCCAAAGTCCATTAAAAGTGAATCAGTTCAGCTTCAAGAAGCTTTCAGTGATGAAGAGGAAATGTACACACTCATCTTTGATATGACGCAGGCGGTTTTATCAGTTCAGTGCCTATCCAGCTTTAAAAGCATTTGCTGTGGCTGTGGCACAACATCAAGCCCCCTGTTGGTTAAGGTGAGAACTGCAGGCTACTCAGGCAAATGGGGATGGTTTATTCGGGTGCTACTTTCTTCCTCTCATTAAGTGAAACCATTAAGGTGGTGTGTGAAAGATGGTGGCTTCTGTGTTAAGTTTTTCTTTACGAGGGCTCAAGTCATGCATGTTTCTCCTGGAGTGGGCCTTGAACTAACTACCACTGCTGCACAACAGCTTCCACAATCGCTCACAGGAATTCAACTGAAATCTGCTTTTGAGACTCCGGTGGGCCGGAAACATACAAACCCACCCGAAGTCCACCAGTCAGAGCAGAACTGAACCGGTGGGAGCACATCACTTTTATTCTTTCATTTTAATCACTGAGTTAAGCTGATCACATTGATCAGTAGTTAGAAACAATAGACTAAAGAAGAAAAAAGAAGTTTGCAGTGTATTCCACTGTACTCTGTAACATAACTACTTCAATGTTTCTTTCTCTAGTTGCTTGTTTGTTTGTTTGTTCGTTCGTTTGTAGGTTTTTGTTTCTTTTTGTTTGTTTTTGGCTCCCACACATTTTTTTTTTTTATAATGGTTGCGGATACAGTTGTTAATAAACAACACATTTGTAACTAACTATATCGACCATCTGCTACCACCTATTTTTATTTTTTTTATTAAATATTCACGTTTTGGCAAGCCAAGATGAGTCGCTTGTTTTGCAAAATAAGTTGCACAAATTGTACAAGCATAAATACAACAAGGTAAATAGTAGTAGGTAGCTGTTCTGCTACTCTGTTTATGTGATGTCAAGTGAGACGTGTACATTTAGCTGGTGAAGATTCTCTCTTTTTTGACTACTTTTACCTGTACGTCTTTTACAAAGACAATTGGTGGAGTATGTATTTGTTCTTATTTTTTGTCTTTCTTTTTGTTTTGTATTTTTAATACAATAATTGTAAATATTGGTTATATTTTTGTTCAATTGTAGAAATGTATGATGTTTATGCCTCAACATCCAGTTTATATGAAGCTGGGAATCAATAAATTCGACAAAAATGAATCAACTTATAGTTTTTAATTGCTCTTATTATTATTATTATTATTATTATTATTATTATTATTATTATTATTATTGCTCTTTTGTTGATTCTGCATTAAGGACTTTGTTTTCAAACATTGTTTTAAATGACCTCTGGCACCATCTAGTGTTTGCACAAGATAAGACATGGAAGTAACTTGAAATGTGTATCTCATACTTTTCTAACTGAAAAATTTATGTTGGGGTTAATAAAAGACATCTGTATCGATCTGTTGTTCAACACTGTTTGCTTTTTCAGTGTTTCTTCAGAGATTTTGAGGAGCTAAAGAAGATAAACTGGGTCATGTACACAGTAAGGTGACCAGATATCTCTGGAAACCGGGGACATTTCCTAATTCAGTGGTCAAAATATAATCTCCCTTGTTATTGGCTACATTCACACTGTCAGTTTTTGGGATTGACAACCGCGTTTATTTACAGGTGTGTGTCTCGAAATGCAGGGACAGATTAACGCACGTGCCCAGGGCACTAGACCAGAGGGGGGCCCAGTCGAAATACTGCTCCTCCAGGAACGTGATTTCAACTGTGCCCCCTCAGGATTTTAAGCAAAGTGGATTTTGAATGCAGCTTCCAAAAGACCAAAAAATGGCTGAATAATATTTTTTTATATATATTTGATACAATTAGAACCTTCAGTGCGCACAGCATCAGCTGCCAAATTCAAATCTGCGTTAGTGCTTTGGTTGGCGCTGAGTCAGATCCGTTTTTACAGTGCTGCGCATTATAACCAATCACACAGGATTCTGTTGAGCTTATGAATGCAATGGCCAATCAGAGGCATTCAGATGAGTCATCGCTGAAAAGCCCGTGTTTTCTTCAGTGCGCGCGCTCGCTGACTGAATGCTGCTCTCTGGCAAATTCTCTTATCATGAACAAAGTGCAGATGTGTGTACATGTCAGATATTCATTTCACAGTATAAACAGCTTCAGTGATTATAATGGGAGTTGTTAAGAGTGCTTGAAATATGTCTAGACTGAAGTTAATATTCTTTGATGATGCAAATATTCTTTGCTCTCTTTATGTACAATGAAAGTGTTATAATTAGTAACTTAATGTTTTTTATTAAATTTACATTAAATACAAAGTCAGTCATATTAAAAAATATTCTATGGCATGACACCCATATCTACTGCAAGTTAAAAGACGGGTTTTATGCATAGGCTAGTTAATAGATTACACTAGTATTAGGCTACTTTTCCCAGAGCCCATTATAGATAAACTAACATGATCTATAAAGGTGCAAAATGTATTTACTTATATTTGAGAATCGTGATATGATATAGTTAACAAGTTAGGGAAAATTTCGAATAAAAAATGAACGAAATTTCAACCGAGGGGGGCCTTTAATTGGTCCATGCCCAGGGCACAGCTGAGTCATAATGTCCCGTTCACACAGTAATTTGCAGTAGCGTCTCGAATGCTGACTGTATGAACGTGCAACGGGAGTCAAGCCCGTATTCCTCACCAGTAACCATAGCGACAGTGACTAGAGTAATATCAAAGTTGGCAACGTCCATAAAACTACAAGTCTTATCACTTTCTGACACGACAAGAGTCCAACTGAGCCACAAGTTAATCCGTAAAGTCTTCATTAACTGACAGCAGCTTTTATATTTGGGTAGAGAGTGAAGAATTTGAGCCGCGCGCAGAACACAAAACTGACAGGATCTAAAACTTTCAGATGACATGCAGCTCATTTCTCCATCACTGTACCAAAAACACACATGACAACACGTAATGCCGGGTTCAGACTACACTGGACACAACAGATTGAGTCTCTCCTAGCCTGCTTCCTGGAAGGGAGGAGGACAAAAGGCCTGTAGTACAATGGGACCAGGCGATGAGGTGGGCACTTTAGGGACATTCTCGGGTAAAGGAATGCCCTAACCATGCCCGGGGCAAACTCCAGGCCTGACACAGCAAGAGCCTGGAGGTCCCCTATCCCCCCACTGACTGACCACCCTGAAGGGTGTGCTAAGCAGCTATGGCCACCACATAAACAGAGTGGTGGAGGATAACCCTGCGGAGAATCGCTCCTGCAGAAACTCCAGAACTGTACCGACTGGGTCTTGCAGTCGCTGTCTGCACCAAGAGGTGAAAATTTTCCACTTCAAGGCTTACAGTTTCCTCGTGGCGGGAGCTCTGGACTGGAGTATGGTCTCAGCAACCTCAGTTGAGAGACCAGATGCTATGAGCTGGGGGACCACGCCCACAACTTCCATAACTCCGGGCAGGGGTGAAGGATGGTGCCCCCCGCCTGAGATAGGAGGTCCCTCCTGATCGAAATCTCCAGTGGAGAGCCGTCGAGGAGGGACACCAGGTCCGAGAACCATACTCGGGCTGGTCAGAACGGGGCTACTAGCAAAAGACTGACCCCGTCCCGGCGTACTCTTTCCAGAACTCCCGGGAGCTAAGTGATCGGGTGAAATGTGTACAGACGAAGCCTCGGCCATGTCTGCACCATGGCATCCAGCCCAAGTGGAGCCGGATGCGTGAGGGAGAACCAGAGTGGACAGTGTGTGGTTTCCTGCGATGCGAATAGATCCACTTCCGCCTGGCCAAACCCCAAAAGGAGCTCCATCACTTCTGGGTGGAGCCTCCATTCCCCGGGCCTCAGCCCCTGTCTCGACAGGATGTCTGCTCCCTGATTGAGATGCCCAGGGATGTAGACTGGTCTTAGCGAGAGCAACTTTCCCTGAGCTCACAGGAGGATCTGGTGCACTGAAAAGGGGGCGCAAGCACAGACCCCCCTGCCGATTTATGTAGGAGACCACCGATGTGTTGTCTGTGCGGACAAGCACATGATGTAACCTTAGATCTGGAAGGAAGTGTTTCACAGCTCGAAACACGGCCAACATCTCCAGGCAGTTGATGTGCCACATGAGATGATGGCCTTCCCACAGACCTCGGGCAGAGCGGCCACTTATGACTCCCTCCCTCAACCCCTCACGGCTGTGAGAACTGCTTCGATACGAGCAGGAGACAACTGTGCCTGCATCATTGTCGAATACCACACCACGCCCAGATAAGTGGTCCTCTGTAGTGGAGAAAGCACACTTTTCTTGGCGTTCAGCCATAACCCCAGCTCTCTATTATGGGCGAGGACGACATCTCGATGTAGACTCAGATCTATGATCGGACGCAACCCCCCATCCTTCTTCAGAACGATGAAGTAACGGCTGTAGAACCCTGATTCTCTCTCGAGAGGAGGAACACGTTCTATGGCCTCCTTCCTCAAGAGAGTTTCTACTTCTTGTTCCATTACCAAAGCCTGCTCGGGGCCCACTAATGTAGGAGTAACCCTGTTGAAGCGAGGTGGACGAGAACCGAACTGAATTCTGTAACCTCTCACTACAGTCTGCAGGATCCATTGTGAGACATTCGGCAGAAGTTTCCACACTGCCAGAAAATCTACTGAGGGAACCAGTCTCTCGAGACTGGGGTCTGGTGTTACTAGACGAGCCACTTTGGTGCCCTGAAGCAGTTGACCGGCAGTACTGTACCGTCACCGGGCGGCAGCTGGGAATTTTGCTCGCGGGAGCCTACTGAGCCCTGAAGCACCAGGGGTGGCAGGGGTATCAATAAGTCTCCCCGAGGGCACTGAGGAGGATCGGGCACTGTATACTGAAGTGTGTACCTCTCCTCCCCAGGGTGGGCATGTCCTCAGATCCGTTTTCTGTTTAGAAGACCCCGGCCGAGAGCAGGGGTGCTTTGCCTTTGAAACCTCTCAACGATAGTGTCTACTGCGCCGCCGAAGAGGCCAGAGGGCGATAGCAGGGCATACAGCAGGAAGAATCTGTCCTTATCTTGTAACTCAGACAGATTCAACCACAGATGTTACTCCGTGGCCACGAGAGCTGCCATGGAACGGCCGATGGCTCTGATCGTTTCCTTGGTGACCCAAAGTGACAGATCTGTGGCCCGACGCAGTTCGGCGACGCAGTTCAGA